GGCCTGGCTGCTCAGGGCCTGGCCTCTGTTGCTCTGGTTCATTCCACAACCAGCCGCTCCGGGTCTGGTCACTGCCGCTCCCGACCTAGTTGCTCTGGACTTGGCTGCTGCTGCTCCGGGCCTGGCCGCTCCCAGCCTGGCAGCCGCTGCTCCGGGCCTGGCCGCACCCGACCCGCCTGCTCCCCCGGGCCTGGCCGCTCCCAGCCTGGCAGCCGCTGCTCCGGGCCTGGCCGCACCCGACCCGCCTGCTCCCCCGGGCCTGGCCGCTCCCAGCCTGGCAGCTGCTGCTCCGGGCCTGGCCGCACCTGACCCGGCTGCTCTGGGCCCAGCTGCCCCGGGCCCGGCCGCTCCGAGCCTGGCCACTCCCGACCTGGATGCTCTGGGCTTGGCTACTGCTGTTCTGGGTCTGGCTGCTCCCACCCCGGCTGCTCTGGGCCCGGCTTCTTTGGGCCCAGCCACTCCGGGTCTGGGTGTTCCTGGACTGGCCACCCTGGGCTTGGCCGCCTCCGCCTCATGCCTGGCTGCCACTGCCCCAGGTCTGGCTACTCCAGTGCTGGCTGTTGATGCTCTGGTTCTGGCTGCTGTTGTTCTGGGGCCTGGCCGTTGCTGCTCCGGGTCTGGCTGCCACTGCCTTGTGCCTGGCCACTCTAGGCCTGGCCGTCGCTGTTCCAACATTCTGTCCTTTTTTTTTTCTTTTTAAAACGCATTTATGTTGCAATGTTGGCTGGTGAGTTGAGTTCTGACTTAGTCTTTGATTTTTCAAGATCTTCTTTGTATTCTTTCTTAAGTAATTTTACTATTTTTTGCTCTCACTTGATTTCTTCACATTGAGAACTTCTTTGGTTTCTTCCTCCTTGTCCTGGGAGCTCAGCAGGTTGGCCTGTGGCACCCCTTTGTTCTCCGCGGGCTCCTGTGCTGCTTCAGCCTGTTGCCGGGACGGCGCCACCCAGGAAGCAGCCCCCGGCCTTGGCTCCATTGCCCGAGCTCAGTGGTCAAAGGCTCAGGGGCACCCACGCCCCCAGGGGCCCCGTGGCCCGCCTCCTTGCTGGTGCCCGGTTGGCTGGAGTCCGGCAGGGGCTTCCGCTCCCCTCCGCGTTCCCCCAGCCTAGAGCTTTTTTTTTTCTCCTTCCCGCTAGGGAAGTCCAGCATCAGAATCAACAGACTGTCCTCTGCGCGCAGTTTGCGCGAGTCCCACAGACTGTCCTCTGCGCGCAGTTTGCGCGAGTCCCGGGGGCCCGGCCTTTCGCTGCTCTCCCCGGACTCCACCTCACAGCCCCGTCTCCTTCTGCCTGAGCCTGGGTCCCCAGGGATTGGCCCAGAACTGGGGTTCGGAGCAGTCCGGACTGAGGCTCACCGCCGCCAGAGGCCTTGTTTCTTCCGGCTAGGGCAACCCAGCATCAGAGTCAACATTCAGTCCTCTGCGCGCATTGCGCGTGACTCCCGGGGCCCTGCCTTTCGCCGTTTTTCCGCCTCACGGCCCCGTCTCCTCCCGCCGGAGCCTGGGTCCCCAGGGTCTGGCCCATAACTGGGGCTCAGCGCTGCCGGTTCGGGGGTTCAGCCCAGGCTGGGGGTTTTATTTCCTTCCTGCTAGGGAAGGAAAGGCAGCTCCCTGCCCTCTCCTCTCCGGCTGCGACCTCTCCGTGCGCGCGTGCGGGCGGGCAGGCGCGCGCAGCATGTCTCCGTACCTTAGGCTTTTTTTCAGCTCCTCTGATTTTCTTTCTGGTTTTCTCTTTCCTTCTTGTTGTAGAAATTTCAGTCAGTCGACTACCTGTAGCTCTGGGCAATGTCCACTCTACATTTTAGTTGTATTCCATTGAAATTGTTGTGTGCTGCCGTGGCTAGATGTCTACCCGAGCAGCCATCTTGGATCCTCTATTTTGTTTGTTAATCCTCCCTAGAGAATATTTTTCCATTGATTTTGAGAGAGAGAGAGAGAGAAAGAGAGAGAGAGGGAGAAAGAGACATCGATGTGAGAGACACACATAAATTGATTGTCTCCTGCACCTGCCCTAATCAGGGCTGAGGATCAAACCTGCAACCAGGCTTGTGCCCTTGAACCTGAGATCCTTCAGTGGGCAGTGTGGACACTCTAACCACTGAGCATGCTGGCCATGGCCATGCTATGATTTCTGATGTTAGCAGTTGCAGGTGGGATAAGGCTCAGAGTATAGCCTTGGAAATAGTGGCTGAGAAGAAGTAAAAGTGTAGTTTCCCTGTAATTGATGATCTTTTAACTGGGATGTGATGGTGCTACTTGGTTCACTCAAGTGACTGTCAAAATAAGGAACAGTAATTCCAGGATATGAGATAGGGAGAAGGATGAGGGCATGTCAGACTGTGCTGTGGAGGCCCAGAGCAGGCGCTGTGTGTGTTTATGTGTATGTGTGTGTCCGTTGTGGGCCTGCCCCCAGCTGTGCCACAAAGGCTCGGAGCAGGTGCCCCTGTGCGTTCTCTCAGGCTCCAGGGCTGCACCTGTGTGTTGTTCTCTCAGACTTGGAGCCGCACCCGGCCCCTCCTCCTGAGCTGGTTGTGATTGTTATGGTATCCTTATCTAATTTGCATATTTCTCTAATATATATATATATATATATATATATATATATATATATATATATATATATCCCAGTGCACGACATTCCTGCACTCGGCTCGGCCTTGTGCCTTCTTGCAGTCTGGGAGCATTCATGGAATATCTGACTGACAGCTTAGGCCTGCTCCCTGTGAGCCCAGCTTCTGGCGCAATGACCACCAGGGGGCAGCTACTGTGTTAAGCGTCTGCCCCCTGGTGGTCAGTGTGCGTCATAGCAACATGTCTTTCTGCTATTAGGTCAATTTGCATATTAGCCTTTTATTATATACCCTGTTTCCCCGAAAGTAAGGCAGTGTCTTATATTAATTTTTGCTCCCAAAGATGTGCTAGGTCTTATTTTCAGGGGATGTCTTATTTTTCCATGAAGAAGGATATGGTACACATTTATTGTTAAATGAAAATAAAGGAAATTTATTACCTGTATACGGTATGGTAGTACGGTAGTTGTCAACACAAACCAGACAAACTGAATCCTACAGTATCAAGAATTTACTCATTTATTCAATGACAATCATGTCATCATCTTCTGGAACATCATCATAACAATCCAATTCCTGAATTTCCTAGTAAATTTCTTGTGACTCCATTTCTTTCAGAATCAGTGGACCAAATCTCTCATATTTAGCCTGGGGGGGGGGGGCTTATTTTCAGGGGGATGCCTTATATTTCACTCAGAAGGAAACCTGTAAGTAGGTCTTATTTTCGGAGGATGTCTTATTTTCGGGGAAACACGGTAGGATAGATAATTCATGAGTTTGACAGATCTCAGCTGGGTATTTCTAATGTAAGTTATCCCAACAAGAACAGTCAGACTGTGACTGAAGTGACATTTTGAAGGCTGTCTCTCATAGTCCATTTGGGTGGCTATAGACTGGGTGACATAAACAATAGAGATTTATTCCTAAAGGTTTTGGAGGTTAGGAAGTCCCAGATCCAAGTACTGGCAGATTAAGTATCTGGTAAGGGCCTGCTTCCTGCTTTTTAGATGGCCATCATTTCACTTCTAATGGTTCAAGCTACATTTTATGGATAAACTTTCCAGTTTTCCTAAATGGCTGCTATATTTAGATAATTTGAATATATCATTGTTAATTTGAGTTGGCAGAGATAACCTAACAAATTAAGTTTTGGTACCAGGGGATATATCTTTCAATAAAATTATTGATGTGAAAAAGAAAGTACACCTCACCATACTGTCCATGTGTTTTAATTTCAATATGGACCAGTAGCTTCATCACCATAGCTGTCCCTGGAAATCTACTGGTAGAGAATGATGAATAAAGAGCACATAGGAAGATCTAGCTCTTCCTCACAGGAATCCTGGTGGCTGGGCGTGGCTTGATTGTTGACCGCATATTTGGCTGGCTCTTGGACAGGCCTGTGTTTCACTTTTGTAGGAATCTCTGTTGTACAATACACAAGCACATTTAAAACTAGATTTTTTTTTTTTTAATCTTGGGGGAGAAAAATTTAGTTCAAACTAAGGGTAGAATTCAAATCAGTTCCAATACAGGTATAATACAAGTATTGTAGTTGTAACCAGGAAACTGAAAGGTTTGGGAAGCTTATGCTTCCCCATTTTGAATCTATTAGTATATTTGCTAATTTAGCTTATTAAATTCATCATTAACACATTAAAATTATTTTACTTACAAATATAGTTATCATTGATTTTTACACTAGTAAATCCATCAATTCTGATTTGTCTGTGGCTTCCCATTGTTGGTTTTTTTGGAAGGTAGTTATCAGTTATTAGTTTACTAGAGGCCTGGTGCACGAAATTCATGCATGAGGAGTGGGGTCACCCTCAGCCCAGCTGCACCCTCTCCAATCTGGGTCCCCTTGGGGGATGTCTGACTGTTTAGGGCCTAAACTGGCAGTCAGACATCCCTCTCACAATCTTGGATTGCTGGATCCTAGCTTGCCTGCTTGGTTGTCCTCCATCCTGCTGGCTTGGTTGTTCCTAACTTCCCCCTGCTGTAGGCCAGGTTGCCCCCAACTTCCCCCTCTCTGCTAGCCTGGTTGCTCCTAACTATCTCTCACCCCCTGCTGGCCTGGTCACCCTTTACTGCCCCTCCTGCTGGCCTGGTCACCCCCAACTGCCCTCTCCCCTGCTGGCCTGGTTGCCCCCAACTGCCCCCCCCCTTGCTGGCCTGGTTGCCCCCAACTGCCCCTCCAGCCAGCCTGGTCACCCCTCTCCCCCTTCACTGGCCTGGTCGCCCCACACAGCCTTCTTGTTCAGTTGTTTGGTCATGCCTCACTAAACCCACTTTCAGCCTGGTTGTAGGCTGCCATCTTGTGAGGGTTAGTTTGCATATCACCGCTTTATTATAGAGGATTACTTTGGGTTGTGAAGCTAATTAACCTGTTTCACATATTGCCACCTACACGGACCTTGTTTTCTCCTCAGGCTGCCTGTTCCCAAACTTGAAGACACCATTAGAAGATACCTCAGTGCACAGAAGCCTCTCTTGGATGATGGGCAGTTCAGGTAAATGCTGAGAACCCTGAATGACCGTGGCTGGGTGGTTCAAGAGAAGCTGACAAATAATGGTAGACTGCTTCCGGAAGTTCTGTGATTAGACTGGGTCTCCAGGTACCTCATGAAGGGCTGACCAGTCTCTCTAACCAGACTCATCAGGTGGTGGTTTATAAGCCAGAATGAGAAGTTTGTACTGTATGCTGGTAGGAGTACCTGGGAGGCCAGCTGGTGCAGAAGGCGTGTGCTCCTGGTAGGGAGGTAACATTGAGGAGAGCATATGGCAGACCAGAAGTTTCCTTGGCCTTGGTGACATGTGTACTGGATTGGAAGGTGTGCCCCCAAATTACATGCTCTCTTTGGAACCTCAGAATATGACCTTATTTAGAAGTAAGCATGTTACAGTGTGGCTGGGTTGGAGCATGGTCCTGTGCACGGAAAGGTTGTGGGTTTAATTTCCAGCCAGGGCACATATACACAGGTTGTTAGTTCAATCCACGGTCTCGGCGGATATAGGAGGCAACATATCAATGTTTCTCACATCGATATCTCTCTCCCTTTTTCTGCCTCTCTCTATAAAATCAATAACATCCTAGAGCAATGGTCGCCAACCAGTGGTCCATGAGATCTGAAAGGTTGGCGACTGCTGTCCTAGAGTGAGGATTAAAAACACAAAGATGTCATACTGTAGTAGGATGGGTCTTTAATCCAAGGAGATTGATATTCTTATAAGAGGAGGAGGCACAGAGGCAGCCATGTGATGATGGAGGCAGAGGTTGGAGCGTGCCAACAAACCAAGGAATGCCGAAGATAGCTGGTGACAACAGAAACTAAGAGGAAGGCATGGCATACATTCTCCCCTAGAGTCTTCTGAGAGAAAACAGTCTTGTTAATATCTTGATTTTTGTACTTCTAGCCTCCAGAACTGAGAGAATAAATTCCTATTGTATTAAGCTATCCAGTTTGTGCTTCTTTGTTATGGCAGTCCTAGGAAAGCTAATACAGCATGGAATCCAATAATATTACTGGCTGTTGCCAAAAAGTGAGTTGCATTAAGCTCTTACTTACATCCTACTGTATCCTCTCTATCCATGATGGGAATTTTTCATGCAGATAATGGGCATTGTCATTAAAATCACAAAATCCTTCACTGGACAGTGATGGAAAAACATAGATGAACTGTTCATAATCTAGTCCTATACTTTCAAGTATTCCTTTTTAGTCACTTGAAGCTTCTCTTGAGATGGTAATAATTTAATAGCTACCAGTTACTAAATATTATATTTCAAACTATCCTAAATCCCTAGCTTCATAAATATGTTTTAATCTTATAAGGTGATATATTATGTCTATTTTACACATGAAGAAACTGAAAGTCAAATCAAGTAACTTGTTTAAGGTCGCATTGTTTGAAAGTGACAGAGCTAGAATTCAAACTTGGCTCTTTTTTACCCCAAAGCTTATGTCTTTCTCTCCATGCCAAACTGCCTCCCAGAGTACAGATAGTTTTATGAGATGCTGATTGATCTTCCCAGTTAGTTGAAAAACATATCCTAGAGTTACTCATTTTAGATTTATTCTTATTCTGATCTCAGTCCTAGGTCCTAGGGATATACTATTGGGGACTCAAAGCTTGTGTATGAGTTTTGGGTCATGAATCTAAAAATTACATATTTTCTGCCATTATTTGATTCTATCTTTTCTCAAACATTTCAGGAAAACAGAAGAATTTTGCAAGAATTTTGAAAATGGGATTGGACAAGAACTGCACAATCAGTTGGTTGCTCAGGACAAGCAGAATAAACATACGAGCTACATTTCAGGTAGGGAGGGTGGGCTATGGGTGTAATTTGTCTCAGAGCCCTCCATAATTGAAAGCAAGGCAGCTCTCTCCTGTTTTGGTCTTGAAAATATTCTTGGTGGGACAGCAATGTGTCATCCTCTCCTCCTGAGGTAAACATTAGGCTGAGTGAGTTCCTCCTCCACTAAGATGTTGACTGAATTCATGCTTAAGAGCAACCGCTTGCTTCCTATATAGATGGAATCACAACAGAACCTAATTATTGGTCTGTCTGAAAAGGATGCATGCAGGAATAAGTCCCTATGTGTATCGTTCTAGATCCCTCAACCCATTAATTCTTTCATTCTCTGTGTCTTTATCCATGTTGTTTACACTGCCATTTGTTACCTGGAAATTTCTTCCTTTAAGACTCAGGTACGATGATTGTCAGAGGTGGGGGTTGGTTGAAATGGCTGAAGGGGATCAAAAGGTACAAACTTCCAGTTGTAAAATAAATAAGTCATGGTGATGTAAGGTACAACAAGATGACAATAATTAATAATAAAGTATTATAAAGTTGCTAAGAATGTAGACCTTAAAAATTCTCATCATAAGAAAAATAAATACCCTGTTTCCCTGAAAATAAGACAGTGTCTTATATTAATTTTTGCTCCCAAAGATGCGCTAGGTCTTATTTTCAGGGGATGTCTTATTTTTCCATGAAGAAGAATACGGTACACATTTATTATTAAGTGAAAATAAAGGAAATTTATTACCTGACTACAGTACAATAGTACAGTAGTTGTCAACACAAACCAGACAAACTATGAATCCTACAGTATCAAGAACTTACTCATTTATTCAATGACAATCATGTCATCATCTTCTGGAACATCTTCATAACAATCTAATTCCTGAATTTCCTGGTGACTCCATTTCTTTCAGAATCAGTGGATCAAATCTCTCATGTTTAGCCTAGGGGGTCTTTATTTTCAGGGGGATGCCTTATATTTCACTCAAAAGGAAACCTGTAAGTAGGTCTTATTTTCGGAGGATGTCTTATTTTCGGGAAACACGGTATTATAACTGTATGGTGATGGATGTTAACTAGACTAATGTGATCATTTCACAATATCAATATATAAAAATATAGAATTATTATATTGTGCACCTGAAACTGGTATAATTTTTTATGCCAATTATATGCTCAATGAAAAAAAGAAAAGAAAGAACCAGGTAGGATGATTTTTTGGTGTGAAACCTTTCTGTCCTTCTCCCTTCCCATTCAGAGTTTGTTGCTTACACCTCTGTTTCATAGCACTTGAAACTTAGTTTATATTTTTATAAGGAGATATATATATATATATATATATATATATATATATATATATATATACATATATATACATATATATATATGTACACATAATTTAAAAAATCAAATAGTTCCCCCAGGCTTATGAGGAAAAACAGCAACCCTTCCCTAATTTCCCACTTATTACTTTCAGCTGCTCTGATTCTTTTGAAATATGTATCCTTATTCTTTAAAATCTATTTATATTACTGCAATTTAACTTTTTTTTAAAATCAATCTTTATTGTTCGTATTATTACAAAGGTTCCTCATTTCTTCCCCCCTCCACCAGGTTCCCACATCACCCTCCGCCCCCTCCCGACCCTCCCCACCCCCCCATTGTCCTCATCCATAGGTGCAGATTATGTTCAGTCTCTTCCTCCCTCCCTTCCCCCCACAGATCAATACCCCAGTGCTATACTAACTTAACATATCCAGATCTAAGCCTTCATCACTTGATTCAGCAGACCCTCAAGTTCTCCCAAAAGTTTCCAGCCATGTCTGAGAGGCAGCCTTGGGGCGAGGGCAGGTGACGAGCGAGCTGTTCCGGGCCTAGCCTCTGTTGCTCTGGTCCGTTCCACAACCAGCTGCTCTGGGTCTGGCCACTGCCGCTCCCGACCTGGCTGCTCCGGGCTTGGCTGCTGCTGCTCTGGGCCTGGCCACACCCGACCCAGCTACTCTGGGCCCGGCTGCTCCGGGCCCCGCCGCTCCGGGCCTGGCCGCTCCCAGCCTGACAGCTGCTGCTCCGGGCCTGGCCGCTCCCAGCCTGACAGTTGCTGCTCCGGGCCCAGCCGCTCCGGGCCTGGCCACTCCCAGCCTGGCAGCTGCTGCTCCGGGCCTGGCCGCTCCCGACCCGGCTGCTCTGGGCCCGCAATTTAACTTTTTGATTTAGGCATTATCTATTAAGATCTCCCTATAGAAGATTAGAATTTATCAGTCTCTTATATCCCCACCACATATGAGAGTGTACATGCCCATTTCCTTTCCCCTCATTTTCACGGTATAGTTATATGTAATTTTAGTTACTGTAGTATTTATTTTATTTTTCAATTAGCAATAATTATGCCTCAAAAAAAAATTGTGCCTCAAGTAAACCTCATTAGCTATAATACTGCCACTGCACAAAGCTTAGCTTAGTATTTCACATTATACTATTAGGATCATGTAATTGCTATTGTCAGATGAGTTGTGTAGCACATTGGGGTTGTTTATTTTCTTTCCCGGATAAACTTTTTGTTTTCTCTGAAGTTAATGATTATTTTATATAATACTTTCTTATGTTTAGCTTTCCATGTGCTTACTAGTTCATCTGGGAATTTTTTTTTTAAGCTTTCATCTTTCTTCATAGTCTGTATCCAAGTTGCTTTTCTCCTGTTTGTTTTGCCCTCTTTTTTTCAGGTGCTTTCTATCCTTCTCTGTTGTCTTGGATATGGATGAAATATTAACAAGCTATTGGGAACTCTTGGATGAGGGTGGGGCTTGTCACGGCTTCATTGCTTCATTGCATGTGATCTAGCTAAATCAGTTCCTTGAGTGTCCATAACATTAGTGTTTGTGTTCTAGACTCCCAGGGAAGGCTTTTCCATTAAACTGGCAGAGGTATTTTCCTGGTCACTAGTGTTGTAGAGGTGGGATAAAGGAAAAGGTTTGAGATCTCCACAGATCTATATCCCATAATTTTACTTTTGCCAGAGAATATCTGGGGTGTAGGAGTATGGGTCTAATTAAATAGCATATGTCTAGGCTGCCAGTCCGGAGCCCTCTTGGGCAAGCATGTGAAACTCGCAGTCCTTGTTGATTTGGATGTCCCATTTATTTGGCCCGTGCTAGCCTTTGAGTTTGACATGCTTGCTCTCGGGGTTCTGCTTTGTAAATATTATTTCTTGGTTTTCTCTGCTCTCAACTTAGTGTTGGCTTTCTTGAGTCTGCTTTTGTCATTACCAGTTACCTAAATGCTTTTCAACTTTAAAAAATATATTTTTTTATGATTTCAGAGAGGAAGGGAGGAGAGATAAAAACAGTAATGAGAGAGAATCATTGATTGGCTGCCTCCTGCACGTCCTGCCCCCCACTGGGGATCAAGCCCGAAAACTAGGCCTGTGCTCTTGACTGGAATCAAACCTGGGACCCTTCAGTCTGCAGGCTGATGCTTTATCCACTGAGCCAAACTGGCTACTGCATCAACTTGTAATATTTGCTCTTTTTCATTTTCTTTGCCTTATTGGTTTATATCTCTTTAAAATTATTTATAGAAGGGACCAGAGGCATAAATTCATGCCTTTTTCCATTAAATAATCCCCACTCCCCAATATGTCTTTTCTCTTACCATTTTAGTGCATTGCATTATGTTTTTATTCTGTTTGTCTCCTTCACCATAGTTCTTCCAAATCAAAGACGATGTTCTGTTCTTCTCTATATCCCTGGACTAAGGCCTGATTCTCCACACTTATTCTCAAGGAATGAAATGGAATAAATGGACCAACAAATGAATAAGAGATAAATATGTGTTCATTAATCCTTTCCCCAGTGCTTTACATGTGGAAATTATTTCTTCCAAGGAAAATGGTCTTTGTTAGTGGAGTTTACCCATGCTTAGTAATACTAGCAGGACTTCCCTTGAAGACACATTTCCTGATAAAATACTGCTTTTGGAATTTTCACAAGCAAAACATCCATTGGAATGTGGAGAGCTAGTTTGAGCGGTCCACATATACTCATAGTTACTTCTAACTGCTTTTGAACATTTCCTAAAAGAGGAAGTGCATAAATGTATACAGTACACAGAATGATGGTGAAGACTTTCCCCCGTATTAGGGAGATAGTCAAGTGTGAATGTTGTCCCTGACAGGAAACCTAAGGAGGTGATATGGGAATTAACAACTATTCTATCCCAGCATAAATGCAAGTGAGGTGTTATCATATTTTACTTCTTTAAGAGTCAAGAAAGGAAAGAGAATGAGGAAAAAAAGGCAATTAATAAACATTAGGGAAATGCAAATCAAAACCACAATAATGGTTACCCACCAGACTGGCTCCAATCAAAAAGACAATGTTGCCAAGGATGAGGAGAAATTGCAACCCTCATACACTGCTGGTGGCAATGGTGCAGGCACTTTGGAAACTACTGTAGCAGTTCCTCAAAAGGTTTAACACATGACCAGCAATTCTACTCCTAGTTATATCCCCAAGAGAATCATAATAACCAAAAAGTGGCAACAACACAAATGTCCATCAGCTGATGACAAATGTGCTATCTCTATATAATGGGACTCTATTCAGTAATAAAAAGAAATGAAGAACTGCTACGTGCTACCACATCGATGATCCTCAAACACATTGTAAGTAATAGAAGCCAGATGTAAAAGACCAAATAGTGTATGATCCTGTTTATACAGCATGAATTATTGCAGAACAAAAAAGTAATCTGGAAATTCCTCCCTCTGGAGGTGATGTCATTTCTTGTGCATATGTCTGACTTATTTTTTTCTTTCTCAAGTTTTATTTTTAGGGACTGCATTAACTTTTTATGTTTTTATTTTTGTTTTAGGCCCCTGGTTTGATATGTACTTAACTGCTCGAGACCCTATTGTCCTGAACTTTAATCCATTTATGGCATTCAACCCTGACCCCAAATCTGAGTATAATGATCAGCTCACCCGGGCGACCAACATGACGGTCTCTGCCGTCCGGTTTCTGAAGACACTCCGGGATGGCCTTTTGGAACCAGAAGTGTTCCACCTGAACCCTGCTAAAAGTGACACTGACACCTTTAAGAAACTCATACGCTTTGTGCCTTCCTCTCTGTCTTGGTATGGTGCCTACTTGGTCAATGCGTATCCACTGGATATGTCCCAGTATTTCCGACTTTTCAATTCAACTCGTTTACCCAGACCCAGTCGGGATGAACTCTTCACTGATAACAAGGCCAGACACCTCCTGGTCCTAAGAAAAGGACATTTCTATGTCTTTGATGTCCTGGATCAAAATGGGAACATCGTGAGCGCCTCTGAAATCCAGGCTCATCTGAAGTACATTCTCTCAGACAACAGCCCTGCCCCCGAGTTTCCACTGGCATATCTGCCCAGTGAGAACAGAGACATCTGGGCAGCGCTCAGGCAGAAGCTGGAGAGCGGTGGCAACGAGGAGACCCTGAGGAAAGTGGACTCTGCTGTGTTCTGTCTCTGCCTAGATGACTTCCCCATTAAGGACCTTGTCCACTTGTCCCATACCATGCTGCACGGTGACGGCACAAACCGCTGGTATGATAAATCCTTTAACCTCATTATAGCCAAGGACGGCACTGCCGCTGTCCACTTTGAGCATGCTTGGGGCGATGGGGTTGCAGTGCTCAGGTTTTTCAATGAAGTGTTTAAAGACAGCACTCAGGCCCCTGCCATCACTCCACAGAGCCAGCCGGCCAGCACTGACTCCTCTGCTGCTGTGCAGAAGCTCAACTTCAAGCTGAACGATGCCATAAAGACGGGCATCATTGCTGCTAAGGAAAAGTTTGATGCCACCATGAAGACCCTCACCGTTGACTGCATCCAGTTTCAGAGAGGAGGCAAAGAATTCCTGAAGCAGCAGAAGCTGAGCCCTGACTCGGTGGCCCAGCTGGCCTTCCAGATGGCCTTTCTGCGGCAGTATGGGCAGACGGTGGCCACCTACGAGTCCTGCAGCACTGCAGCGTTCAAGCACGGCCGCACCGAGACCATCCGCCCCGCCTCCGTCTTCACGAAGAGGTGCTCCGAGGCCTTTGTCAGGGAAGCTTCCAAGCACAGTGCTGCAGAGCTGAAGCAGATGATGGCCGAGTGCTCCAAGTACCACGGCCAGCTGACCAGAGAAGCCGCCATGGGTGAGACGGGGAGCATGCCCTCGGGCCTTGTTGCCCTCAGCACTGGGGCAGGCCTCAGCTGTCTTCTACCCCAGATCGGATTTCTACCTCTTCACTAGATTGTATCCGTCTGCTAGCTACCACATGATTTTTTTTTTTTTTACCCTAATAGTCTGAATAGCCAGGCGAGCCACTAGGGATCAGAATGTTCTAAGCAGGGATGGGGAAATACATCTAACGTTATCCTCAATGAAGGTCATTTTCAGCTGTGACACATGATTCTTTCTAGTACTTATTAGTCATTGGACGATTTAGGATTTCTAAGCCCACAGGCCCTCTTACTTCACCTCAGATGTAGTGTGTCGGCTCCCTGTAAATAGGTCACTTCAGAAGCTCTTCCCAAATCCAATGTCTGTCTTCTTTGCCTCTTTGTGGCAAAATCTTAGACCTGGAGGAGCCCATGGCCCAGTCCTTTCCTGCAGCAAAAAGTCCTGGAACTAACAGGGACCTCCGACATTCTGGTCTCATCCTTCCCCATCTTATAGGTAGGCAATAGAGGCCACTGGACCAGGGTTACATAGCAAATCAACAGTAAAGATGAGACTAGAACTCTTTCCGTTTTGTTCTACTGACTCAGTGTCTTTGACACTTGACTTAGACTTTGCCGTTTATCTTAGTTTTTGAGTCCAGAGCTCTCATGTACTTTTCTTGACTAAATTGACTTAGTTTCAGACTTTGTAAAATCATTTTTATTTTATGCTCATTTTTGACTCAGCTGTTGAGTTTTTCTTAATATTCTAGAATGAACTGCTCCAGAGGCTAGTGAGCTGGAGGTGTGCATGCAGAGGTAGACAGACTCTCCTTCACTCTCAAGGCTGTTTTGAAGGGGGTTCCTACATGGGTGGGAAGGTTTACTACGGCTTCTTTCAGTTCTGCGATTTTGAGACTGGTTTTTTGTTTTGTCTCTGACAGGCCAGGGCTTTGACCGACACTTATTTGCTCTGCGGTACCTGGCAGCAGCCCAAGGGATTGCCCTGCCTGAGCTGTATCTGGACCCTGCATACGGGCAGATAAACCACAACATCCTGTCCACTAGCACCCTGACCAGCCCAGCAGTGAACATTGGTGGTTTTGCACCCGTGGTTCCTGATGGCTTTGGCGTTGGGTATGCCGTTCATGACAACTGGATAGGCTGCAACGTCTCCTCCTACACAAGCCGCAATGCCCGGGAGTTTCTCCAATGTGTGCACAAGGCCTTAGAAGACATGTTTGATGCCATGGAAGGCAAATCCGTCAGAACTTAGCTTCCGGGCAGGTGAAAAGCCTCCCATTACTTCATCTACATGAAAACTGAGGCTTGTGTAGTCAATAGGTGCTATTCTGTGACTATTGGAACTAATCATGAGGTACCTCAGCGGCCAATGATGTGAAGCCTGAGCTTTAAAATTATGGTTTTAAAACTAAATGTGTAATTTCCAAGTGGAATTAGACCAGAAAGATGATGTGAGATTTCCATTTTAAGGGCATTTGATCAGGAATGTAGGATCTGGAAAAATAACTCAGGTGTATTTATTGTTGAAGCAGAAATAAAATTTAATTGTTGCATCTACTGACATAATCTACTTTATTTTCCCTTTTAATTAATGATTTTTTTGAATTCTTTTACCTCCTAAAAGATGAGAGGCAATTTAAAGTACAAAAACTATTGATCCTTTTAGTGTTTGTCTTTATGAGCTTAACACACTGGCTGGTATAGAAACTGAAAACCAGAAAGGCTGCTTACCCAGCCCGTTACCTCCACCTATTTGCTTTCAGGCTGGGCAGCGGACTGGACCCAGTGGATAGAGGGCGGAAGGCCTGCTGGCTGGAGAAATGCTGTTGTCAGGTACAAAGAAGAGGCCCAGAGGGAACCAGGCATGTTCGACCTAGACTAAACAAGAAGTAGCTGCCGACTGGAGAGGGGACAAGGTGGGCACCTCATCACCTCTTGGACACGGCCACCTTAAATTGGAGGATGCCCAGAACCAGCCTGGGAGTGGGCAGACCCGTTCCCAGAGGCCCATGCAGACATGAGGATATTAATTTTACTTCCAAAGAATTCCTGGCTCCAGCAGAACACTGGATAAATAGGTCTACTGTAACATTTTCCAAATGGGCTCACTGGTGGGAAGGCATGAGCATGCCTCGTGGACCTAACTCATTCAGCAGCTCTGTCCCCTGGGGAGGGGCTCCCGTACCTCCACAGGCTGCTTAGGGGGCAGCACACAGAAGTGTGACCACAGAGGGGGCAAACCAGGACCAGGAGCTACCGGGGCACAGATGCTGACTTAACGTAAGAACTTTCATATTGACTTCCGTGCTGGGAGGAGATAGCCCCATCACAGCAGGTGAGCCAAGACCTAAAGGCCACCTGGCTAGAATTTGAGAGCAGAATCTTGCAGGATGGATTGCCGACCTCTACAGTCCCTTTTATCCCCAGAATATGAAGTGACACCAGCTGACAGAGATGCCTCCATTTACTTAAAAGCCACGCTAATCAATGCAGTGTTTTGGCTCAGGATTATTTGGTCATGGTTTCATTCTATAGGCTCAGCTGCATCTCATTCCATTGGCCTTGGCACCTTTGGTTCTCTGGGGGGAAATGCCCACTCCTCATGAGCTAAAGAGCCCTCAGAAGCTGTGTGCTGCCACACAGTTTGCAGAGTAGTCAGGTGTAAGATTCTCTATCGTGGGAAACAGTGAAAGACCTCTAATAGAAATTCTTATTGTGGAGGGAGTGGCTGCTACCTGCCTCTGCCTCAGTGCGTGAGTACAACACAAACAGGGGCTTTATTGGTGGGGCTTGGGAAACCGACAGCCCGGCATGCAGCCTGTGAGGGCTCAGACAGCTGCCAGGAAACAAGGGAGGAGGGGACCAGCCTCAGTGGGCTCTGCTGCTTGGCTGTCCCTTCTCAGCTCTTAGAGGCAAGTGTGCAGGAAGAGGGCTCAGCACTTCACGAACTGGTGGGTGACCTCGTAAATTCCCACAGACTCCTGCGCCTTTTCGTCATAGTCAGTCCAGTCCTGTGGGGGGAAATGGCAGTGTTAGCCTCAGCAGGCAGCCTAGGGCAGTGTGGAGAGGAGCACTACGATTTAAAAGCCCAGTTCAGGCTCTGACCCAGCCATGCATGAACACGTATGACCCAGAACAGAGCCAGACTGTTCAGGCCTGAATTCCAGCTCTTCTAGCTTTGTGATACTGGCAAGTCACTTAACCATTCAGATCCTCAGAGCTATTCTCCATTTAAAAAAAGGGGACAATAGACTTCATGTTGAATGTTGAAAGAATCAAATGAGGTAACACATGTAAAAGTACTTAGTGTAGAGGTAACACATGTAAAAGTACTTAGTGTAGATACACATAAAAGCTCAATAAATTCTAGTCACTGTTATTACTATGTACTGTGCAAGTTGAATGAAGTTTTTGTCCTTCATTTGAGCCTGAACACAAGGTTTCCTCGTTGGCTAGGCATTACCATTCCACCGATACAGTCTAATCTCTTTATCTGTGGGAGTTACGTTCTACAAAGTCACCACAGTGCTGACTTAGTGAATAATGAACCAGTGCTCCCAGGAAAAACACAGGATTAAACTCATGGGAGTCTACATCTGATCACACTGTTTTCAACCAATACATAACCTTGTTTCATGTAGGATTCTGTTTAAAAACACCTTTTTAATATATTGTTCATTCATTAAAATTGAACTCACAGCCAAAAACATTATAACTCATGCCTTCTATTTTCTCTAGCAGCACATTCTAGCCTTCATGCATGTGGAACACTTGGTGGAACTTCAGCGTTACACTTGAGGCCATCTTATACACCAAAATCACAACAAAATGCACAGAGATGTGCAGTCAGCTTTCCACTGATGAGTCTTGTTCACCATAGGAGATAATTTCTACCACGTGCCCTACCGCACCTGCAAGGTCCCCATGTCCCGTACCTTCTCCTGCAGATTAATGTCACTGAAGACTGTCCGCGATTCTACACCCTCCGCAGCAAACCCAGCCTGCAACGGACAGGAAGCAGTGAGTCCGAGGGAAAGGAGGCCCTGGTCTGGCACGTGAGCCTGACCAGGGAACTGGCTTTTCTCACATTTGGGAAGGGGCACAGAGATGCAGTGTTGGCAGCTGTTCTGGAATAACTACTGAGCTTCCAGGGCCTGGCAGCTGCCTGGGACTAGAGTGGTTCCTCCAATTACAGCCCTAGATCAGAAGGCAAGAGCTGCAGGGTAAACCCTTTTACTATCAGGTTGTCTGACAGGCAATCGAAGCTTTAAAGGCTCAGATCACCCCAATGGTCCCAAGTACACTTAGCTGCAGCCTTTTGGTAACCATCTAACAGCTGGGCACGCCGCTTTCCTCTCTGGACCTTAGTTTTCTTATTTATGAAATGGGGATGGTACTATTATCTCTTCTGCCTATCTCACAGACTTGTGAGGTGAAAATGCCGCTCCAATAAAATGAGATGAGCACTGACTCTGGAGTCAGAGAAGCCTGCATTCAAATTACAGCTCCCTTGCTTTCTGTCACCCTGGGCAAGTTGCAAAACATTGAAATCCTTTCCTTGTCTGAAAAAACAGTACGGGTAACTGCACAGGTTGACTGTGAGGGTTAAATAAGATAAAACATGTAAAACTGACCAGCAGGGTGCCCAACACAGAGTAGCACTTAATAAATAATTATTATTCTTACAAAGGAGAATTCCTAGTTCATGGTCTCTGTAGGAAACAAAGTTCTGCTATTACTTCCTATGTGCCCTCCCCAAAGACACAGGTTTCCCAGGAAAACACACACACCTGGGGCTGGAAATCAACTGGTTCAAGGCCCCGGCACTCAAACTCTACTATCGTCTTGAACTTCTCATTGTCTTCAACCTAGAAAGGAAATATATTGAGGAGGTAGGCCCCAATGGGCCCTCAGGATAGCACCAATGCCTCTACCCTTCATGTCAAGCAGGTCCTTACTGCCCCTCTGAGCCCAGAATGGGACTTGGGACCAAATTACCCCTTCTGGTAGAAGCCTGTCTTAGCCACCTGCTCCCCATAAGACCCTGGTCATGGATGTTACAGAACAAAAAGTGTGGACTCTGGGGTCCGCCTGCCTACATGTGAGGCAGAACTCTGTCTTACTTCCCCCTTCTGGGCCTGAGACTATCAAATAGAGGTGAGGAACCACTACAAATTTATTGTGAGAACTTGAAATATATGTAAAGTATCCAGCAGAGTATCCAACACTATGCTCAGTAACTAGTAGATAACATTACGAGCATCACAAATATGAATAAGAATGTTAAGCTAGAGTCTCCAGATCATCTAAACGGCCCCAGCACACTTAACTATGGCCTTTTGCTAACCATCTGCCATGTTGTGAAGGCAGGAACCCGACTTAAAGCCTTTGAAATGAAATTTACGTATAGAGGAGGCACCTATGAGCAAGGTGGTGTAGCCAGGAAATTCATGCCTACCGACCCATGGGCCCAGAGACCCCAACCATGCCTACACAATCGCTCTCATCCTGTCACTCACTCTAAAATCATTGCCTGGCCCTGGCTGGTTTGGCTCAGTGAGTTAGAGAATGTCTGTGGACTGAAGGGTCCTGGGTTCGATTCCCAGCCAAGGGCACATGCCTAGGTTGCGGGCTTGATCCCCAGTGTGGGGTGTGCAGGAGGCAGCCAATCAATGATTCTTTCTCATCATTGATGTTTCTATCTCTCCCTCTCCCTGCCTCTCTGAAATCAATAAAGATATATCTAAAAAAAACAACAAAATAATTTCCTGCACACCAACCGTGTGTGCTGGCCCTCGTTTGTTTTTTGTTTGCTAATCTGTCTCTTCCACTAGATCAGGTTTACTTGAGGGAAAGTCCTCATTTGATTTCTCTTTAACTTCAGGACAAAGCTGAAGTATGACATGAATCAGACGTTTTTCAAAAATACCTAATAAGGAATGGATACATACAAGTTAAATGTCCTTTTTTAAACACACACCCTCCCTCACCTTTGAACTAATTTGTTATACAGTAATGAATAACTACCTAAGAATATGGACAATATCAAGGATGGATGGTACCATTAAAGAACTCTTCCCCCCATGGTTTCAGAGAGGGCTCACTAGACCTGCAAAGATGTAGATAAGGCAAATGTCCCAGTGATGGAGACTGAATGGCCAGCTGGATCACAGGTCCCCTGAGCTACCCCAGCCCAGCACTGACTAGAATCACTCTCGAACCCAGGCCTCCCCGCTTGGATCTAATCCCACCATGCCTGCCACCACAGCAGGCAACTTACATTGTAAGATCTGATGGTGCTGCTCAAAATCTCTGAAACACAAAACAGAAGACAAAGTTGACTTGAGTCCATACGTTAGCCCTACCCCAGGTCCCCGATGTGACTCTGGGAAAGGGTCTGTTGCAGGTGACATGAGGCTGCTTTGGGTGTGGGGTCAGGAAGTCGGGGGCTGGCCGGGCAGAGCTCAGTACCCATGGCCTGGCGTACCAATGGAGTTCTCCCGCGCGCACAGCTTGCACTTCTGCACCATGGAGGCGCTGCCACGGCCTCCCTTCAGGGCCACACTGTCCTAGCGAGGAGGGAACACAACCTCTAGTCACAGAGCAATCAGACGGAAGGTCCTGAAGACCCAGTCCCACCACTTATTACCCAACGGGAGAGACCAAGACTCAGAGAGGGTGGGCGACTTGCTAGGACAAGAATCCTGGGGAGGTTTCTTAAGACCAAGGAAAGGGCTTCCCCTTGATTTTGAACTCTGCCTCACATCCCAAAGAAGGCTCTTACTTGCACGGTTAATCCCACTAATGCCTGCCCTCCCAAACCACAAAAAACAAGGTTCAAAGATGGGAAGAGATTAGGATCACAGATTCCCCAAATTCCTGCCTAGAGATTGTGTGTGTGTGTGTGTGTGTGTGTGTGTGTGTGGTGGTAGGGGGGAGCAGTTACCATTAGCCGAATGTATTGCCACTTCTCTGAAATCTCACCACAGTTGCCACATTTCATCTTGGGAGGGAAAAGAGTATTAGTTCAGTTAGGCAGATGCTGAGGGAAGGGTAAGAAGGCAGGCTCATAACCTGCCTTCCAGCCAGCAATCTTACCTCATCCTTACAACCAGCCCCACCGAGGACGACATAACCAGACTTCAATATGGGCAAAGAGCAGCCCACGGTGCTTCTCATGCTGGCAGCCCCACCCTCCTCTAAGTGCCCAGGTTAGTTGGGGACTCAAGGCTCATGTGGTACAGAAATGGTCTCAGCAGGCCCCCCTCCCATCCACGCTGCTAGGTTAGGAGCTTCCTGATTCCCACGGGCACTGCAGGTCCCTGGGGTAAGTGTTTATCCTCTGTTGTTACTGTTTTTCTGTCTCCTTCGCTAGTCTCTCTGCTTTTTGAAACCAAAGAACATCAATTCCAAAGAACATCAATTCCAAAGAACATCAATTCCAAATAAGCCCTGGCACTTCGTCTTCAAAATATATGGGATTAAAAAATGGTCAGAGGTTTCCTGAAACAGAGGAAGCTTTTTTTTTTTTTTTTTTTTAAATATATATATTTTATTGATTTTGTACAGAGAGGAAGGGAGAGAGATAGAGAGTTAGAAACATCGATGAGGGAGAACCATCGATCAGCTGCCTCTTGCACACCCCCTACTGGGGATATGCCCCCAACCAAGGTACATGCCCTTGACCGGAATCGAACCTGGGACCCTTTGGTCCCTAAGCCGACGCTCTATCCATTGAGCCAAACCGGTCTCGGCCAGAGGAAGCTTTTGCCAAATACTGAAGGATGCTGGGATTTAGACTACAAGGAAAGTAGCAGAAGCTCTGGGATCCGGGAGAGGGAAAGAGCTTACACTACTCAGGTAAGAGGGGTCCTCTCACACAATAAAACCAATCAACAAATAAAACAGGTGAAATTATGCCAAGACCGGTTTGGCTCAATGGATAGAGTGTCGGCTTGGGGACTGAAGGGTCCCGGGTTCGATTCCGGTCAAGGGCATGTACCTTGGTTGCGGGCATATCCCCAGTAGGGAGTGTGCAAGAGGCAGCTGATTGATGACTCTCTCTCATCGATGTTTCTAACTATCTCTCTCCCTTCCTCTCTGTACAAAATCAATAAAATACATTTTTTTAAAAACAGGTAAAATTATTCTTACTAAATAATCACAATATTCCTTGAAGCAGCCTTTCGTTTAGCGTTTACATACCGTAAAATATTTAACGAAGAAAAAAAATTACAAAAGGAATCCCAAAACACTGTCAACTAAAGATCAGCCAATCAATTTTTAAAAGCAAATTATAAAATTCTATCCAGAAAAAAAAACATTGAGTGGTTAAGCACAGATCAGGAGGGGAACCTTCTTCCGGGCCCGACCTCTGGCGCCCCCTCCCGGAACCTCGAAGCGCCACAGCCTCTCGGGCTCCTCCCCCTCCCCGCCGGGGCCCCGCCCCCGCACCTTCAGGTACCACCGGAAGTCCTCCCCCACGGGCCGGAGGTTGGTGACGTTCTCCAGCGTGGCTTTGAGCTGCAGCGCGATTTTCTGAGGAAAGGGAGGGCCAAAGCGATTGCGTTATTCGCGCCTGCGCAGCCCCACGCCTCGCCCCTGCCCTCCCGCCCCCGCGGCACGAGCGCGGCCTCTCCGCTCCTTTTCAGCCCAGGCCCGCTCCCCTCATTCTCTGCCGGCGCGAGCCCCCGCATCCCAGACCCACGCCGCCGCCGGTCGCTGGCCCGGCGGCGTTTCGCTCCCGCCTCACCCCCATAGCGGCCCGGCTCCGCCCGGCGCTGGCGGCGGTCGCTGCTTTCCGGCCCGTCGCAAACGGTGGGCGCCGCCTGCGCACTCGCGGCGCGAGCCTGGGCTCGCCTCGGCTGGGCGTGGGGGCGGGTCTCGGGGCGCCGCTCCTTCCGGCGCACGTGGCGTTTTGGCTGCTTTTAGGCGAAGAAAACGGAGGCCACCGGAGTTGGCAATTAGCCTGTCTCCAGTGCTCGGGAACTCCGGTGTTCAGTGGACGCGGGTCCGGGCCAGCAGGCGGGTAGTCAGGGATGCCGCAGCAACCTTCCTCCTGCCCTCAGCTCTCGGGCTCCTCACCACTCCGCCTCCCCGCACCCATCTCCCCGCCGGCAGCCTGCTGCCCGGAGGCTCCGTAGATGGCGTGGCTCCCCCCGCCCCGCTCTGGGCCGCCTGCGCAGATTGGGCCCTTTTTGTGTTCTCCAACGGTCCCTTCCTTTCCCCATCCAGACCTGCTTTCAGCGGGTTGTCAGTTGCATTCGTCCTCATGGTGGGCCGGAGACTGGCTCTCCTCTGGGTTCCCCTCTCTATCCTTTCTACCTTTACTGAACCTCGTTTTACCTGCCCTCTGGTCCAAGGCATGTCTGAGACCGTACAGGTGCTGTAAATGTTACAAAGAACAGCCCGTTTGAAACTCTTACAGCCTTCTGAGCTCCTCGTGGTCATGTCTTTAAAATTTGGAGTGACAATTTTGCTATCTACTTTACCACCAAGTAGACTCATTGCCCCAGGTACCCTCCTATAGAGTCAGGAACCCTGACACCTCAGGTCCCAGATCTGCACCTCACCCGCTGCCCTATTTCCTCTGAAGAAGGCAGAAGAGGGTGTGCATATGCTGGGAGTGGTCGGAGCAATGGCTTAGTCCGATTTGGGACCACGTCCTAAATTAGCTTGTCTTGAGGGATGGGAGCCCTACCCAGTCACTTCCCCTCAGTCAAGTGACTTATTTTCTTATTTTAAAAAATACATACTTTATTGATTTTTTTATAGAGAGGAAGAGAGAGGGATAGAGAGCTAGAAACATCGATGAGAAACATTGATCAGCTCCCTGTTACACACCCCCCACTGGAGATGTGCCCTCAAGCAAGGTACATGCCCTTACCGGATTGGAACCTGGGACCCTTGATTCCGCAGGCCTATCCACTGAGCCAAACCGGTTTCGGCTCAAGTGACTTATTAAGACCAATTCCTTTCAGTGCCACAACCTATTTAACCAGCAAGTTCCTACAGATTCACTTAAATTCCTACACTATCTATACCCACTATAGATAGTTGGCTTTGTTTTAAAATCTTCATGAGGATATCTTTTTCCATTGATTTCTAGAGTGGAAGGAAGGGAGGGAGGGAAGCGTGGGCATGAGACACATGGATTGACTGCCTCCCACATGCACCCCTACCAGGGCTGGGGAACCTGCAACCAAGGCAGGAGGTCCACTCTTCCCACAACCCGTCAGTCCATCGGCGGACACCACCATCTAGGCCAGGTCTCAGTTCTTACTAGCTGTTGGTAGTCTGATTTCAAAATGTACTGGGGCCCTGGCTTAGTTGAATGTTTTCCTGTGCACTGATTCGATTCCTGGTCAGGGCATATACCCAGGTTGAAGGTTTGATCCTGTTGTGATACATACGGGAGGTGACCAATCGATGGTCCTCTTCCTCTTTAAAGTCAATAAAAAATATTTTTAAATGTATTGGAAAACTTTACCGAGACTAGGCATTTTATCCCTTATATTAGTTTCTTTTATAATGAAATAACTGTAAATATTATCTATCTATAAAAGATGATTTTTAAAAACCCAACCACAATACCATTTACACCTAAAAAAAAATGACATTTCATTAGAATCAAATATCCAGTGTTCAAGTTTTTGTAATGTCAATTTAAAATTTTTTGATTCATGATCCAAATGGGACCCAAACATTGCTTCATGCTCCATCTCTAGTTTGTTTTATTGTTTATGTTTTACTGAAGAAACCAGATCCCTTGCCCTGGACTTTTCTGATTATTGCTGATTGGACTCCCACTATATTTTTTAACACATTTCTTTATTTTTTAGCGATTTGAGAAGGAGGAGACATCGATTTGTTGTTCCATTTAGTTATGCATTCATTGGTTTATTCTCATATGCTCTGAGTGGGGATTGAGCCTGCAACCTTGGCATATTGGGACAATACTCTAACCAACTGAGTTATAAAGCCAGGGCTTTATTTTCTTGTTTCCTATGAATTAGTAGTTTTGTCTACAGAGTCAATTCAATTAAATTTTGGAGCAATACTTTACACAGGATGTTAGTGTTTTAAAAAGAAAGTGGTTCCTGGCTGGGTGGCTTCGTCAGTTTGGAGCGTCATCCTGAACACCAGAAGGTTGCGGGTTCCATCCTGGTCAAGGCACACACCGAGGTTGTGGTTTTGATCCCCAGTTGGGACACGTGTAGGAGGTGGCTGATTGATGTTTCTCTTGCATCAATGTTTCTGTCTCTCTCTAAAAATCAGTAAAAACATATCCTCGGGTGAGGATTAGAAAAATATAATTCCTTCCTCTCTGAAATCCATATTTATATACACGTTTAGAAGTCTCTATAAAACAATAATTGCATTTTGTTATGTATTTATTAAAGACAATCATTTACAGTTCATAAAAAAAATATTGGCCTGATATACACAAAAATTTCCTGATAATGGTAATGAAAACCAGCTACTCCCACCCCCCTTGTGTCCACACCAATATTCAATTTAGATTGGTTTAATCTTGAAGTGTAATCCAATAAGACTGAAGACCAAACACTTCAGGTCCTGGACAAGATAATAAAATACTCGTAAACCTTCTGGGTCCCTAAAATGCAAAAGGAAAAAAAATGTTTAAAAAGCAGAGACAACTTGCAAGATAATACCATTTAACACAAATTATGTACCAAGGCATTGTACTCATGAAGGTATTTACAGAATTAAAACTATGCCCAAAACACAGAAGCCAAAGAGGTTTTCAAATTCTGAAACATACATTATAATTTGTCCTCCTGACAACACAAATTTTAAAATTTATATTCCAAATAATTTCAAGTTTCATCCAAGTCAGACTTTAAGATGTGCTAGTCTGAATGACTAACACTGAGGAAGGTAGTTAAGACTTATCTTAAACACTTGTATTGGCATATTTCATTTTTCTGTTCTGGACAGATTCCTACCCACGTTGGCTGCTCCAATCACATTACTCTGTGTGTCACTAAGAAGCTATTAACTAGAGGCCTGATGCATGAAATTTATGTCAGGGGCTCAGCCCTCGCAGCCCTAGCTTTGTCCTGAAAGTAGTCCAGAAGGTCGTTTGTTTGGCCTTTTGGCCTAATTAGCATAACATGCTTTTATGCTAATTAGACCTGCCAGCCAAATGACCTGGACTAAGCCACTGCAGCAGGGGTGAGACAGAGGCAGTTAGGAGCGATCAGGCAGGCAAAGAGGTTAGGGGCAATCAGGCAGGCAGGCAGAGTGGTTAGAAGCCAGCGGTCCCAGATTGCAAGAGGGTGCAGGCTGGGCTGAGGGACATGACCTCCTCCCCCCTGCCGCATAAATTTTGTGCACTGGGCCTCTAGTTATAGATAACTGGACAAAAGGTCAAAAGCAACAGGAGCAAGCCTTGAAAATAATTTAGAGCCTCTCCATCTGTACCAGATCTTACCATAATGGTCCTAATTTGGTTAAGGATTTCCTATCAATCTGCTGTAAAACAGACACATCTGGATATACAGATGATGTACACTTACTTGGATTGATTGACATCAATGAGGGAACCAATTTTTGATGTTGTGAAAGAAATGTGTTCATCTCCAATGACAATTTCAAGCTCCTGGAAATATTAAAAAATGTTTAAAATCAAGCCAAATTGGATTGTTCATTAAGTACACAGGAAGTTTATCTGCCAAATCACACAAACACTATCTACTACACCTAAACAAGACAATTCACTCTGAGGACTAAATTGCACTAGGTACTAGAAACAAAGAGATAAATACTCCCTTGAATAGCTCATTCTTTGAGGAAGTTGTGTCTGTAATTTGGAAGAAATCACATAATTGTTTTGTATGTGTGTTTTTGTTGTTAACAGTGTGGAGTAGCATATGTAAATATGTTTTACAAATCCCAAGAATCTAACTTTTCTGGGCAATCTGGGACAATTTTGGACAATGATAAATGCTATGAAGATGATCAAACTTTTTTTTTTAATGATGGAGAGAGGTGTTTTCTTTATTTATTTGGAGTCTGTCCTTTAATAATTTTCAGAAGAAAGCCAAGAAGTGGCGTCTCGCTCAGTAGAGACATTGATCAAAGATTTGTAAAAATGGCAGGTTTGCAAACCTTGGGTAAGGTACATCAAATTCAGCAAGCCAAAGGAGTGAATTTTTCATGATGGAGTTCTTACTACTCACTGGTTTGGGGCCAGTTTTCCATAGCCTCTTAATGGGGAGAGGTGTTTTAGATTTGATGGACAGACAAGATATCACTGAAAAAGTAACATATAAATGCTTCAATACTAAAGTTTTAGAAAAAATATTTCAGGAAGCATGTAGCAAATAAATACAAAGGTCCTAAACTTAGAAAACAGGTATATCTGAAAGACAGAAATAAGACCAGTGAGGTTTGAACACAGAGATTATAAGATAAGGTAGGAGTTTGGATTTTATTTATTTTATTTTATTGATATTTTTTACAGAGAGGGAAGGAGAGAGATAGCTAGAAACGTCGATGAGAGAGAAACATCGACCAGCTGCCTCTTGCACACTCCCTATGGGGATGTGCCCGCAACCAATGTACATGCCCTTGGCCGGAATCGAACCCGGGACCTTTCAGTCCACAGACCGACACTCTACCACTGAGCCAAACCGGCATCAGTTTGGATTTTATTTTAAATGCAGTGGGAAGCTACTAGAGCAAGCATGTCAAACTCATAGGCTAACACAGGCCAAATAAGGTTTAAGTTTATATGGGCTGCAAAAAGACAAAAGCTTCAATTTTCATAGAAACATATGTTCATTTCGATAGAGATATGCTGAATACAAAGGGCTGAAATAAATGAGTAATCATTAACATAATAGAACATTTTAATAAAAATTAGTATTTTTTCTTGAACTTACCAGACCCTGAATAACTGCACAAATTAATAAGCATAATGCAAATAGACCTATTTTTCTTGTTCTCTGAAAGCGAAATATTTCCTGTTGTGCATATCAAACAAGTCAGTACAAGACTAATGATGTGACAATTGGCTGCTAGAATATTCGCTGCTAGTATTAGTGGAGAGAATTGGTGCACCTGCGAGTAAGGTGCATAAGGGAAATGAATGTAACACGATAGTAGTCAGTCATTAGTGAACATTATATTTCATTACTAATAACTATGTATAACAGGGTATTAACGATGTTATTTGAGGACCTGCTGTACATAAACACATTTACATTTTACAAGATTACTTTGGCTTCAGGATGGAAAACGGGCTGCACAGGGTAAGAGGAGAAACAAATCAATTAGAAGTCTGGATTAGGAAAGCAGCAGATGAAGTTAGTTGGTAGCATGATTTTCCTTCCACTAGACTGTTGGCTACTGAAATACCTATGTTCTATTTATCTTTGTATCTTCACCCTGCTTTGTCTGTGGGAGTTGTTCGGTAAGGTGGGCAGCAAAACCCTAAATGGGAGCGGGAAGGTCACAAGAAGAAACTCAGGGCTGGGCTCTCGGTGGTCAGCACCACTTGCTCTCTGTTCCTCCCAGTGGGTTCACTGCTTCCTTAGATCAAGGTGCTGGTAACCTGCCTCATAGGGCTCCATAATGCACGCATGCACGCACACCAGTGGAGGGTTCAATGTCATATGGAGAGTAAGTCATCTTACTTGTAGTATTTCTGCATTGGAGACAGCTGCTAAAACACTCACCTGCCGGCCCACTCTGTCCGGGGGAGGCCACAAAGCATCATCCTCTTTGGTAATTTCACTGTCATCAATTATCCTCTTCAGTTCCTCCATCACACTCTTATGCACATAAGCCTGAAAGCATGTTAAAAAACAGATTTAAGTTGTATTCCTAAGCAACATTCTCCTCAGGAAGCAATTAAAGATAACAAAGACTGCTCCTGAAAACTCATTTCTGGCACCTCTGCAAATGGGAAGACATTGAGCTTGACCTCAGCATGCTGAAGGGGGGAGGGTCAGAGGAGCCCAGTGACTACCTCAGTCCCCATATGCTTGTTTCTACTCTTGGCACATCCTATTCACATGGACCTCTCCTTACCTACACATCTAACTCACACCTACACCCAAAACAAAGGTGTGTGTGTAACCCTGGTTATTCTTAGATGGGGACTTAGCAGAGACATGTCTTTTAAATACACTCTATATATTAGTTTACATTAAAAAAGAAGAAAAAAAAAGAGGCCCAGCCAGCGTAGCTCTATGATTGTCCTGTGAACCAAGAGGTCACAGTTCGATTCTTGGTCAAGGGCACATGCCTGGGTTTCGGGCCTGGTCCCCAGTGTGGGGCATGCAGGAGGCAGCCAAACAATGATTCTCTCTCATCACTGATGTTTCTCTCTTTTTCTCCCTTCCTCTCTGAAATCAAAAAAAATTTTTTTTAAAGGATGCTGACATGTGTAGTTAAGCATAAAACTGATTGCTAATTAAATATAGTAGTATGAAAATATACTGATTGTTAACATAGTTTCAAATGTTAACAAAGAGATTAACAAGTAAGCGTAGCTTTGTTGTTGTTGTTTTTTTTAAATATATTTTTTTGATTTTTTGCAGAGAGGAAGGGAAAGAGATAGAGTTAGAAACATCGATGTGAGAGAAACATCCATCAGCTGCCTCCTGCACTCCCCCCCCCCCCCACTGGGGATGTGCCTGCAACCAAGGTACATGCCCTTGACTGGAATCGAACCCGGAACCCTTCAGTTCGTAGGTGAATGCTCTATCCACCAAGCCAAACAGGTTTCAGCTGTAAGTGTAAATTTGATGAAGACTTAATGTTGTAGTAGAAGTCACACCAAAATGGAGCACATGACAGAGGCAGGAATAGGTTTGAATTCCTGTTCTACCCCTTACTGACAGGGGTGACTTTGAACAAGTTCTATAATTCATATCTGGGCTTTCACAGTCTTATCTGTAAAGGGTATCTAATATCCATCACCTGGGCTTACAATCAGGATCAAATGAGATCATGTATGTAAAACATCTACTGTCATGCTTGACATCTAACATGCAATGCATTCAATAAGGTTAACGGTTTTCCATGCTTCCTTCCCATTCAAATGCAGATAGAGCTCCGCTGAGCGCTGTGTACCAGGGAATATACCAAGCCCTTTGAGCGGGGAGAGCTCTTTGTTTTTACTGCAGATGAAGAAACTGAATTTATCAAGCTCAGCCAGGAAGTTTGCCCAAGGCCACATGGTTAGTAAGCAGCAGATTCAGGGTTCAAGCAAAGATCTGCAAGACTTGAAGTGATATCCAGTAACTGATTCAGTGTTGTGAAAGAAAATATAAAAGACTTGAGAAAAACGTAAGAAGCTGTCTACAGACATGTTTATACTTTCCTATTTATCTTTCATTACTACTCCCAGAAAGAACAAAAAAAGACGAAAGGCTCAACTATAGTGATGCGTCTCCCAGAAGGCTCATTACCTCTTTTCTGATCATGACATCATTTTTGTAATTGCTGTTGTTGGCATATCTCAATTTCCCTGTGAGGGGGGAAAACATAATTAAAACACATGACTAAATCGTCACTAGCCTACTAACACTATCAGTTGTTGCTTAAAACGTATTCTTACTTTTTAAGTATTTACACCTTTAGTGTTTCAACAATACATTTTTTTCAGTTTGTCACTGTAGGCTATGAAAAAGTCGCACAACCAAAAAACTATAGCTGATGCTCAATTATAGATCTTGCAAAAGTTGGCTCAGGTATGACAAAAGAACACAGGTAGACTCATATTTCTGCAGGTTAATGTCCTAAGCTGAAAACAGTGATAGTGGTTGGTAACTTACCTGCACACAAGGTCTGCTGAGGCTCAAATGAGTTATGTAAGCCTTTGAAAAATATAATTTACACACATTATCCGGTGACTGTAAATATTCTGATATATTCCTGTGACAGAAAAGCTGTGGTGTTAGTCCTGGCCGGTATGGCTCAGTTGGAATGCTGTCCCGTGCATCAAAGGGTTTCGTGTTTGATTTCCTAGTCGGGGTGGGTACAAGGCAACCAATAGGTGTTCTCTCTCACATCAATGTTTCTCTCTCTAAAATCAATGAACATGTCCTTGGGTGAAGATTGAAAAAAAAGTTGTCGTTTTATCATTTAACACATTTGGTATACGAGGCTCTTTGTGTATCTATGCACTCATCAGCCTATGGTATGAAGAAGATAAAAGAGCCAAATTAAATGATGCCTCACTGTACTCTTTCCTTTCAGTTCATTCTCCACACAGTGGACAAAGTGATGTATAACAGAAAGATCTGATCAGTTTACTCTAATACTTTAGCACGGACCATAGCTTCCCACTGCCTTCTTGATAAAATCCAAATTCAACATGGCATACTGCTCAACTGAGCCTCTGCCTGCCTTTCCCGGCTCACTCCTGCAACAGCTGTCTCTCACATCAGACTACAGTAAGTCCTCGGGTTACGTCTGAGATCCGTTCCCACGGCGCGATGTAATTCTATTTCACCATATGTCGGAACCCACCTACATAAGCACCTACGTCACTCACATGGAGCACATACACACAAGATAACTTTCCTGACCTTTACTTGTGAATAAATAAAAAACATAAAGCACATATGTACATAGGTCAAAATGATGGAACTTTTTTTTTTTTTTTAATAAATAAATGGGAGCTGGTGACATAACCGCGTCGAGTCTGATGTAACCGGAGGGCTGTCTGTACTTGGTTTCTGTCTGAAACATCCCATGCACTTTGTGGTTTTCAGCCTCTTTGCCATTAATGCTGCCCAAAATGTATTCTTAACTCCTGTCTGCCTAAGCAACCGCTACCGTTACTGAAAACTCACACCCCCCTTCCCTCATGTTTTGCAGGAAGCCTCCTATGAACCCTCAGACTAGATAAGGCGCCTTCTGTTCCCAGTCCTTTCTGTTTCTTTCGTCCACAGCACCTAACACACTGTCTTGTCACTGTTTACAAGCCTACTTCCTTCACAAACGTGGCTTGTCAGATTCATCTCTGTGCCCCCATTTAGGAGATTTCTGTCATCTTCGATCCCTTTTCCTTCACCACTCCGTCTCCTCCCTAAACCCTATAACTGACAGTGATATTGGTTCTGCTTTTAACAGTATCCTAAATCCTTCTCTCCACTTTTACTTTCACCCTAGTCCCTACCAACATTCCTTCTTCTGCCTGGACAATTGTTGGCTGTCTCCTAATAAGTAGCCCTGTTTCCACTTTTGCTCATTCTGTACCCAATTACTAGAATATTTTTTTCAAGAACAGATCACACCTCCTCTCTGCTTAAAACTTTTCCATTGCTTCCTGCTGTACGTAGAATAAAATCCAAACTCCTGACCATGGCCTATAAAGACCTACGTGTTGTGACCACAGCCTGCTTATCCCAAATTATCTCCTCCTCTCCTCCCCAGAGCTCATTCCTCTTCAGCCACATTGGCCACTGCAATATGCCTAGCTCACCCCCGCCCCCTGACCTGACACATGTCACTCCCTCTGCCTAGAATGCTCTCTCTGAGCGTCACAAGGCTGGCTCCTTCTTGTCAATCAAGGTTCAGTTCAAACATCCCCTTTTCGGAGAGCTCTCCAACGGCCATCCTATTTAAAACCAGCCCGTCATTTTGTTTTATTTCCTGGCCACTCATCACTAACTGGAATCTCTTGGATGATTTCTCTCCCGGCCCTAGAATAAAGGAAGCTCGTCCACCGTCCACGTCTGTATCCCAGGTAGCAAGTGACACAGAACCTGGTACAAAGCGGGCGATCGCTCAATGCTTGCCGAAGCATTCTGGTAAAAAAATGTCACCACACAGAAGACCCTGCACCTGGACAAAGAGAACCAGGGGGGCGGCACAGGCGTGCTTCTTACAGACCCGTGCCTTCCTCCAGCTCCCCGCACGGTCCCGGCCGCCCCAGGCCCAGTCCCCGCGCCCGAGACCGCTCTGCCCTCACCGTCCGGCCGGAACTCAAATTCCAGGAACTCGTGCCCGAACTTGCCCTTGTGACCCACGTAGTAACGCAGGTAAAAGTCACTCTCCATGGCTCGCGAAAGGCCTCCGAGACCGGGCTTTTAACAGCGAGCTGCAGCGCAGTGCGCGCCCGGCAGTGACGTTCAGCGGCGCGCGGAAGTGACGTAAAGGCGACGCCGTCGCGCTCAGTTCCTCTCGCGCCTGCGCCGGGAGGTGGGGAACAAGGCTGCCCGCCCCTCTCGGTGGAAACGACGCCCCTTTCACAGGAAGGCGGGGTCAGATGAGCCACGCCCCCGCAACCCGAGGCCACGCCCCGTCAGCCGGAGCAATTACCATGTAGGGGTCAAGGTTACAAACTGGGGAAGTGCAGAATACCGTGGAATTATGGGAGCACGTGGTGTGGCTCCTACCCCAGTCTTCTGAAGGAAGTGTTCCAGAGAGGGCCCAGGACTGTGTGGATAGAATACGGAACGAGGCTGTGAAGGTAGTGACCAAAGTCGGAGAAGGGACAGCCGCTACAGTCATCAGGTTCTTCACCAGTCGTATTAAGAAGCGCAGGCTCAAACCCAAGGGTAATTGGATTTTCATGCAAGGGAAGCGGATGAAGAGCTTTAAACATGACATAACCTATTGCATTTTTGAAAGATCATTCTGGTGGCAGTGTTGCGGATTGGATTGGAAAATGCGAAGATTAGCCCTGCCGGTGTGGTTCAGTGGTTGAGCATCAACCTATGACCCAGGAGATCACGGTTCCATTCTCCGTCAGGGCACATGCCCGGGTTGTGGGCTCAATCCCCAGTGTGGGGCATGCAGGAGGTAACTGATCAAGGATTCTCTCTTGTTGGTGTTTCTATCTCTCCCTGTTTCTATCTCTCCCTCTCCCTCTCTCTCAGAAATCAATAATTTTTTTTATGTGGATGGGTTTGAGATGGAATATCATAATTTAAACGGTGGACAAGGAGATTAAGATGTAGCCAGAGGGGGAGGGAAGGGGAAGTAGGTGTATGGTGTCATGTAAACCAAAATATGAGTATCCTGAGAAATGAGTACCAACAATGTTAAATATCCCTTCCAAGGTCAAGGAAGATAGGACTAAAAGTATTTACAAGATTTATATAATCAGCCAAAACCGTTTTGGCTCAGTGGATAGAGCGTCGGTTTGTGGACTGGAAGGTCCCAGGTTCGATTCTGGTCAAGGGCATGTACTTTGGTTGTGGGCATATCCCCGGTAGGGGTTGTGCAGGAGGCAGCTAGTCGATGTTTCTAGCTATCTATCCCTCTCCCTTCCTCTCTGTAAAAAAATCAATAAAATATATTTTTTTAAAAGACTTATATAATCAGGGAGGTCCTGGGTGACCTTGGTAAAAGCAACCTCAGTGGCATGGGAGTGAGGAGCAAGGCAGAAGTATCGGGATACAAGTAGGCCAAACTTGTAATGAGTTAGGTCTGGGTATGAGAATAGAGAATGCTTTTTGGAGTACTCAAGGACAGATGAGTTGCCAGATAGAAGCAGAGAAGGAAAATCTAGGGAGAAGGCCACGTGTACATGAGCACCGGGGCAGTTCCTTCACCGGTTTCCTCATCAATAAAATGGGGATTATAATATCGACAGTATTCATCTCAGGACTGTTGACGAAGATTAAGGTAATTTATGTGGAATATTGGTACATGTTAGGGACTCAGTTAATGACCATCACTCTCCCCTCATTAAAGCATCACAATGAAACAATACTTTCAGATTTTAAAAAAGGAATTTAATCTTCCTCTAGAAACAGTGCACTGATTTTACAAATGTCCACATTTGATTTTTTAGTTCATCAAGATGATGCCAGTACAGCTAGTGAGACGCAACACCACCCTTTGCCTCTGGAAGAGACGCCAGACTGCAAAGAGGACTGAGTACAGAAGGCAATGGCATTTGGAATGGTAAGACAAAAAGAGCAGGAATGGTTAGTGTGATCCAACATTCTAACATGCCTGTTACATCAAACATCAAATATGGTAATTTGGGGACGAGTGTGTGTGTGTGTGTGTGTGTGTGTGTGTGTGTAGACAAACAGGGAAAATTCATTTGGGTACAATGTCGAGTTTGCGAACCAGTACTTCACCCCCAAATTAACAACAGCTTATATAGAACAAAATGCTATTTTAAAACACATGGTTTGTACAGGTATTTGTTTTTTTTTTCTTGTAATTTTTGTAAAAAAGTATCAAAACCTTCATGTCTTTAAATATATATACATATACAGGTGGCTCTTTTAAAATTATTTTTTTATAGCACAAAGTGTTTGCAAATACAGAGGGTTTCTGCTGATTCCTGGCTATGCACATGGTGCATAGCCTGAATGAATAGGGATTCCTGATTTTTTTTAATAACTGAAAATTTGAAGCTGTAATTCCTCCACCTCTAAGTTCTCCATTTCCTGAAAATCCCCAATATCCTAAAAAATGCCATGTAAAAAGACTCCAATACTTTATCTTCATGCATTGATGGGAAAGGAGATCATTTACTCCGAACCGTTTGACTGCTAACCATTTCTATTCTGTAAAATGATGAGTGTATGGCTGACGTTAGGGAGTGAGGTGGGGAGGCTCACAGTCCCGTGCCCTCTCCCCATTCCCACCTGCGCCACACTGGACAGTGCTTGGGGTTCCCCCTGCAGACTCCACGTCTTCAAAACTTCCAGTTTTCTTTCTCTCTGTTGAAGAAATCTCAGGGGCTCTTGACAACATGGAATGCTTCTGTGAGAATCCCTCCGCCTTTGTATTAGTTTTCATAGACCATATCAAAAAGCTTCAACTCTAAGAATATGAAAAACAGTCACTGTTTCTCTTTGGCCACCGGAAAGCCTGAGGCTCAAGATCGCCATGTCTGCAAGTGCTGGCAACGCATCCTGCTGAATTCCCCATGCACTTGGTGCCTCATACACAGTAAGTGACCAAGGAATGTTTGCTTCACTGAACCGGAAGTTAAATAGAAGTGTTCTATAAAGTGCTTATGTTGAACCTGTCTTTCCATCCAGCTCGTTTCTTGCTACGTCCCCCTTGAGCTTTTTGCTCGTTATAATGAATAGCATGCAGTTCATTGAAGTCCCCATGCTGTTTCATGCCTCGGTGTCTTAGCTGTGTTTCTTCTGCCTGAAGCAGCCTGACATCCCTACTTAGTTTGTAAGACTTCGCTTCAGGTCACTTCTCCTGTGGTGGCTTTCTTGACCCCATTCCTTATCTCCTTCGGTAGAAGTGACCACGTTGTATCATAACATTATTCTGAAAAGAATCTTTTCTTTTTTGTTTGTTTGTTTCCACATGTCTTCCTCTACTGCTACTGTGAGCTCCGTAAGGACAGAAAACGTTTGATTGAACTGTGTACTTCTGCAGTGCCTGACAAATGGTTTCAGTGAATGCATATATTGCAATCACAAAGAGAGACTTGGAGGGATCCATAATGCTTATTGCCATAAATTTAAATCCAATCTCATCCTGAGGTTACAGGTTAATTCAATCTATTTTTTAAATAATCGTGCTCTCAAAAGTAAATAAATGAAATTTGCTTTTCCCTGTTTCTGGAAGGCCATTTCTGCCAGTGCCTTCGTAATCCCATTGGGACGATAGGTAGCAGGTTTGGTGCAATGTTCAGGCAGCGCAAAATAGTCAACTGGAGAAAGGGAGGAAAAGGACCTGGGCCAGTTTCTTTTAAATAGAGAAAAACTGATACATGTTCTGCCCTCCTGGTGTTTCTAAGCTTCCTCCAGCTCTATGTGCAATGCCTCTGACCTGTTCTTGACTGTTGATATATGATGACATAGGGGCAAAAAGCAACAGAAATGCAACTCATCCTCAGAATGAGGCTTAAGGCCTTCAGGATGAGAAGATGGATTTGAGTCCTCAGATTTCATCTCCTTGACTACCATCCCAACACGTGTGTTCCAGTTTTGTTTTTTGTAGGTTGCTCCCATAGCTGCCTCTTTCAAACCGCAGTTGTAGCATAATCAGAAAACGTGGGTGTCTCTGAGAAAGTTGTGTTTCATCATCATTTTGAGGTATCAGGCTGAATCATCCTGATCCCATTCATTATTTTTTCTATGAAGGCCAGGATCTGACTGAAAGTCTAGATATTGTGCATTAGACTCTATTATAATTTCCCCAGGAAATTCTATTTCTTCGGAGGCAGGTTACAGAAAACGTTGCTTGTTTTGTGTAAATTTCAATGACTTTTCACTTTCATAGTTTTTCTTGGTCAAAAATTATTTTACTTTTTACTCTTGAAAGAATAGTAGTAAGTGATTAAGCTCCTTAGGGGTTGGCCGGATGTTTTTAAAATTCTATTTGGTAATGGTCATTCTTAGTCAATGCATTTTTCCCTCTGAATGGATGTTTCAGGACTATCAGCATATACATATCATGAGGAAATTGCTTGTTTATGCAAAGCATGGTGCCCAGGTTCCAGAATATGGTTGTTTTCCCAGAACCTAGGAGATCTGAGCGACGGAGAAAGGAAGATCCTAGGAATAAGGTGACAGAACTCCAGAATGTCTGTCTGGAAACTCAAAGGGTAGCAAGGGGCGAGACATCCACGCATCACTGAGTTGGGAGCAAATGGGAAGTAGGGGAGAGGAATTTGCTTACAGGGGTCAAGTTCCAGGTATGTGGAGGCTAGGTACATGTCCTCTGCTCCTACTGAAGCCATACACTCTGTGTCACATCTGGTCCCTGGTTGTCCGGTGGGAGTACAGTGGTAGAACAGCAGAGTTAAGACCTTGGGCGATAGAGCCAGCAGGGACTGAATTCCTTCCGGGACTGTTGGATTATGTTTTCGGCGGGAGAACCCACAAAGAGAGACACTTCTCCCCGCCTCCCCAAGGCCCAGGAGAGGCAAAGAAAGTGTCCGTGGTGAAAAAAAAAATCTGTAGATATACCTAGAGTTTCCCCCTTTATTTACAAAGCAATAAACCAAATTTCTGCGCAAACATACATCCGGTGTACTATAATATTGCGTGTGCCATATCCCCCTCAAATAGGACTTTAGTTTTGGCCACTTTTACCGCCTTAAGCCCCAAATTAGTTTCATCGATGCAAACACGTGATGGCAACAAACCTACGTATTACTCCTCCCCACCTGAAGGAAATGGGAGCGTAAGAGGAAGGGAGAGATGGAGATGTAACAAATCCTATTCCACCATCTTTATCCTCATCCATAGGGTATCCCAGGGGTTCTGTGCCTAACTAAGCCAGGCCCTAGAGTAAACTTGGCCTGTTCTGGAGACATCTCCACTTAGCTCTCTATACATAGGGAATTCAACCTCAATGAATTCAACCCAAGTGTCCTGAAGGAAAATGAAGTTACTCGAAATGCTGAACTTGAAAACAAGGAGTAGCCAAGGTTCAGCCGTGCTCTCACCTGAGCTCACGAGGACTTCTGGCACTGTGTAAAGTCTGTGTGCTGGCCTTAGCCACACCAGAGGAAGCCCAGGTGGGAGTCCCAGCAGCCACGGGGGAGCTGAAGGGCTTTTCCCGAGTCTGGTCCCAGGAATAGCCAGAGGAGGGGAGGTTCTGCCTCTGCCGCTACATGTTCGCACACACCACGGCATCCGTTTTCTGAGCCAGATTTCCAAAGGCTACTTTTCTGAAAACTCCAGATACCCTCTGTGGACTGTACATATCTATCTGTATGTACTCGAACAACAGCCATGGGTGCGCCTCTTCTCTAGAGTTTTCTCTCGCACACACATGCAGACAAACACAGATGCACACAGAGTCTGTGTGGTGGGCCAATCATACCAAAAATAAATACTCTCATGTCTCTGAATTATTTATAGAACTAACTAATCTTATTTATGAAGTTTGTTAATAAATAATCTAAATTGGAGAGGGAGTTGAGGTGTTTAATGTTGATGGATAGCCACAAAGCATAATCATTTTATTTACAAAAAAAACAAAAAACCCCAAAACTCCAAAACCTAAAAAAGCCTCCCCCACCCCAAATCAAATACTCTCTCTGTAAATATAGTTTTTAAATGATGAGTAAGCTACTGTACCATCGGCCCCGTTTGGTTATGTACATCTTGTTAGTCACTCAGCAGTAGCCATTCCATGAATTCCTCATGGGTAGTGCAACCAGTTAAAAAGTGTATAAAACATTATACATATAAAAACTCTCACATCCTTTGGATGTTTGCAGTTCATCATAACTTTGTGGTTACCTTTCTGCAACATAAATTAAAATGACACACGCACACATAGACACGCACACGCTCACACAGATCCATACAGAAATCCTTCCATCCAGGCATACACCATCCAGAGAGTGGAGTGCATGGAACTGAATTCCGTGAGGCATGAAGGGAGTGGTCCCATCCTTAGGGCAGTCCATCATCTTCAAGGCTTAATGCCACTCGCTGGGGAGACACAAAGAAATCATCGTTAGAACCACAGGGATTTTTTTTTTATTATTGAGTATATGCCTAAGGAACCAGACATTCTAGTGCTTTACAGGCATTAACTCAGATAACCTCCAAACTACCCTAGGAGACAGGTTTCTCATATTTATTTTACAGATGAGACAGTTGAGACTTAATGAGCTTACACATCTGTCCTGGATCACGTAGCAAGTGGGAGAACTAAAATTTGAGCCCAAATCTGTGTGAATCCAGAGCGTTAGCCTTCCCCATTAGTCTGTTCTGCCTCTTTGTCTAAACCTCCTCAAGCCTTTCTTACAGGGTTTTAGGTTTGCATATGTCTTGGGTTTGTTTTGGTGAATGTTTGATCTCAGGTTATTAGCTGCTTGGTTCACAGCCAGGAAGGCAATCTGCTGCACCCCTCCCAACTGATTACCCAGCACTGGAAGGCAATGCAGGTCAATGAAACTCAGTACCTCTTTCCTTCACCCCTACTTTCTAGTCATTGGTTGCTAGGCTTCTGTCTGTGGCAAACGCCTGACCACTGGATGGTGAACCTCCTCATCCCCGAGCCAGCCTATTCCATTGTGGACAGTGGACTTAAATGCTCTCCTATACTGACATGAAATCTGTTTATCTTCTGACGTCCCCTGATTCTCTCCTAGACGCAGACAGTTCTACAGAGACAACACTTGAAATCTGCTGAGTGTTGGAGTTCCCTTCCTTTGGAATGTTTTCCTCTCCAGCCACACATCTAGCTTTCCCCCGTTGGTCCTGTTGTAATCGTTTCCCACTCATCCTTGTCCTGGATACCCTCCTTCGGATACACCCGTGTTTCAGTATCTTCTCTGCGCTATGTGAATTTGGGCTAACCACTTCACCTCTCTGAGCCTTGGTTTCATCATTTATCAAATGGGAATAATAATAGGGCCTGCCTTCTAGGGCTGTTCGGAAATCAAATGAGATTATGTATGTAGAGTGCTTAATATATTACTTAACACACACATGGGGTCCAGAGTCTTCCAGATCAACCTAACCAGCTTGTTCCATCTGTGGACATCCTACATGCAATAAAAGGTTAACTCTACCGCCTTTCAAATCATCTTTTGGTTGTTTGTAGTTTTGCATGAATGCCATGACCTTGCTCCACTAGCATCGATATTTGAGAGCACCTTTTTCTAAGCCAGTTACCCTCCCACTCTCTCCAGGCAGATCTCCAGGCTGGGGACAGGCCCCAAGAAGTGCTAAGGGAACTCCTGAGAAAGGGACAGGGGAGAGAACAGGTGGTTGAGAATACTGGCTTCCGGGAACACCAACGCTATTTACCCCATGTTAGAGGGGAAAGAGCATGGGTGTTGTGTATGTACAGACTGGAGTTCAAATCCTGGTCCTACCACTTCCTAGTTGCGATCCTAGGTGTAATTTATTTTCTGAGTCTCAGTTTCCTCATCTGCAAAATGGGGATAATAATATTAACCTTATAAGGTTACTATAAAGACCAAACAAGAAAATGTATGTAAAACACTGAGAGGTGTCTGAGAGATAGTAGGTTATCACTAAATGTTGATTTCCTCACACTTCTACTCCATTTCTCTGAAACTGGCAGGAGGTCATTCCTCGGGTCTAGATTCCTCAGGAACAGCTCCTCCTGAACGGTTATTTCTTCTCTGGAAACAATGCTTAATAACTCACAAAGCACTGGCGCATGTGCTGTCTCACTTGAATTTTATAACCTTAGGAGGCAGGTAGAAGGAGGATTACTGGTGCCATTTCATAAATAAAAGTGAGCAGAGACGTGACTAAGATCACGGGGTTGTGGAATAGTGAAACTGGGAATCATCTCCTTGCTCCAAGCTCACCCTTCTTCCACTGAGCCCTCTCTGACTTTAACCATTGCTTAAACGACTCTCTGCTCGGATTGGCCCCGGCTAAGGCTCCTCAGGGCCACCTGCCAGCCCTCCTTACTGGCTCAGCCTCATTCCCCATGTCTCCCCTTCGAGAACAATCTGCTTTAGCAGCAATCCTGTCTGCCCCGCTCATCCTCAGTCATTCCTTCCGCATGCCATCTCCTCAGTCTGCACCTACCCCGTCGTTTCTCTTTGCGCCAATACCCGCTCACAGGTTGCAGCCTTCCGTGGCCAGAACGCCCGCTAGGCTCGGCTGTACCTGCCTGGGCTCGCACCCTCACTCGCCAGCCCCTCGGATGGCACTGCCCTACCTTGCACTTGACGACAGGCAGCTCGGAAAGAGGGTTCTTCGGGAGTTGGTGCAGCTGTGACCTTGGTTCTCCCGGCAAGACAAAAAGCTCCTTGAGGGCAGGGGCGGGGTCCTCCAGTTCTCTGGTCTCCCCAAGACAGGGCTCTGCCCACAGTGGGCGATCAAAGCCGCTGATTGCCTGACAGGGGGATGGACTGGATGACCTATGAGGTTGCACTCAGCCCCCTCACTGCTGTACAACCATGACACCTGCGGCGCCACCTGGCAGTCCTTGCTCCCCCAACAGGCCACACCCTGTGTGCCTCTCAGCTTTTGCACGTGCTTCTTTCTGAGGCGCCATTTTCCTCCTCCTCTACCTGGAAAATGGTTACTCTTTCAAGGACACAGTGTATCTGCCACCTCCTCTGTGAGGTGCTCCCCGACAAAGCCTCCATCCAGATTAACAGCTCCCTTGGTGATTTGTTCAACAAACGTGCACTGGGAGCCACCCATGCTGTACGGGCATCGGGGAAACGGGTGAATCAGATAGTCCTACCCTCAAGGAGCTCGCGGTCTAGGGGGAAGACCAAAGAGTAAAAAGACAAGTTGACCAGAGTGTGACGTGCTATGGTGGAGAGGCTGTGGGAGCACAGAGAAAGCCAGGGGAAGTTCCTAGAAGAGGGGACTCCTGAGCGTCCGCCATGGCACTTGGCACACAGCTGTACGGCAGGAAGGGAGGTCTCTACCTCCCGCCAGCTCCTTGGGAGCAAGTGCGTTATCATTCAGCAGAAAGGCAGACAGTTGGTGTCTTTACTTGCAGGAGAAACCCGCTCCCTGCTACCCCAGCTACCTGCCCCGATATTTCTGTGTTCCCAGGGCCTAGAACAGTGCCTGGCACATGTAGGTTCTTGATAAATGTTTGAAGGAAAGGAGGGAAGGAGGGAGAGAGGGAGGAAAGGAAGGAAGGAAGGAAGGAAGGAAGGAAGGAAGGAAGGAAGGAAGGAAGGAAGGAAGGAAGGAGAGAAGGAAGGAGAGAGGGAGGGAAGAAGAGAAGAAAGGAGTGAAGGGAGAGAGGGAGGGAAGAAGGGAGGGAGGGAGGAAAGAGGAAAGGAGGGAAGGAAGGGAGGAAGGGAAGGGAGGAAGGAAGGAAGGAAGGAGAGAAGGAAGGAGTGAAGGGAGAGAGGGAGGGAAGAAGGGAGAGAGGGAGGGAGGGAGGGAGGAAGGAGGAAAAGAGGAAAGGAAGGGAGGGAGGGAGGGAGGGAGGGAGGGAGGGAGGGAGGGAGGGAGGGAGGGAGGGAGGAAGGAAGGAAGGAAGGAAGGAAGGAAGGAAGGAAGGAAGGAAGGACGGACTTCTTCCAGCAAGGAATACTTACTGCAGGATAGACATGGCCAATCTGAGCCGTCCTCCCGATGTGGAGCTCATCTTCATCCTCCTCCTCTGTTGTCTTCCTGTACACTGGGTTGTCAAAATTCATGCTTTTGGTGTTCTTCCGCTTCCAGTTTCTCCAGATCAGGTAGCCGCTCATGCACAGGAGGGCTATCACCGCTGAGGGGAGAGACCCAGCGCACTGACCTCCAGCAGGCTCCAGCCGCTGCGCAGACGCCAGTGCTTCCCTTGCCCCCTCTCTGATCTTACTGCCCTCGTTCCTTAGGCTGGCTCTCCGTGTTCCTTTCCTGCTGCTCGGAAGCCCTTTCCCATCTCCTCTTTCATGAACTACTCATCCTTCAAATCCAGCTCCAATGTGAAGTTTTGCTCAGCTTCTCAAGGTAGACTCAGCTGCTCCCTCCCACGTGTTCCCGGACCGCGGTACCGTACTTTACATGTGTGTGCCCCAGCTAGAATGAGCTCTTTGCGGGCAGGGCCTGTGTCTTTCCTCTCTCTGTGGCCAGAGCCTTGCCCTGAGTAGGTGCTCAGAGCTGTGTGCTGCGTGAATGAGTGAACTTCTTCACCACACCTTTGCCCTAATCATGCTGCTTCCCTGGATTTCTCCAAGAAAACCCTTCTGCCCCCGAAAGAGAGGGGCTCTGCAAGAAGAGGAGCACCCCTAGGCACAGAGCGGGAAAACCCAGGCTCCGAGTTGGAATAAGTCAGTATGTTAAGCACACAGGAGGAAGTTCTCAAACAGACCTGGGCGCAAATGGGGTTCCAGCATAACTTTTATGGATTAACGAGATGATTCTAAAGTTCATCGCGATGAGTAATTAAATAAAAATAGGAGATGCAATAAAAATAGGAGATGCAAATCAAAACAACAATACGGTACCATCTCACACCTGTCAGAATAGCCAACATCAACAAATCAACAAACGACAAGTGCTGGCGAGGTTGCGGAGAAAAAGGAACCCTCGTGCACTGCTGGTGGGAATGTAGACTGGTGCAATCACTGTGGAGAACAGTGTGGAGCTTCCTCAAAAAACTGAAAATGGAACTCCCATTTGACCTAGCAATCCCACTTCTAGGAATATATCCCAAGAAACTAGAAACACCAATCAGAAAGGATATATGCACCCCTATGTTCATAGCAGCACAATCTACAATAGCCAGAATTTGGAAACAGCCTAGGTGCCCGTCAGCAGAGGATTGGATCAAAAAACTTTGGTACATCTACACAATGGAATACTATGCTGCCATAAAAAGAAGGAATTCTCATCATTTGCAGCAACCTGGATAGAATTAGAGAACATCATGCTGAGTGAAATAAGCCAATCAATGAAAGAGAAACACCACATGACCTCACTCATTTATGGATATTAAAGAACATTGTAAACTTATGATCCAAAAGACAGATATAAAGACAGTAAAGCAACAAGCAGACTGTCAAATTACAGCGGGGAGGGTAGGGAGATCTGGGGGAGATAAAGAGATCAACCGAAGGACTTGTATACATGCATATAAGTACAACCAATGGACACAAAACTCTGGGGAGGGAGGGTATGTATGGGGGAGGCAATGTTAAAATATGTACACAGATAATAATTTAATAAAAATATTAAAATAAATAAATAAATAAATAAAAATAGCTAGGAAACATATGTGATACTTTCAACTGGAGAGATTTAAATTAAAAAAAAAAAAAAAAAACAGGAAAATGTGGCGAGAATAACAATGCCCTACTAGATATTGAGACAAGCACAAAGTTGTGCTTCTAGGATGCAGGGACAGACAAGCCACTGGTGGGGGAGAGAAGCCTTTAAGCAGATCACAGTCTACACGGGCACGTAGTTCATAATAAAGGTGACAATTCGAGCCAGAAGGAAAAGACCAACTACTCAGTAACGGGAAAACTAGACAGGCATGCACGGGGGAAAGTTAAATCTCTACCTCATACCAGACTCTAACATAACTTCCAATGTATTAATATGTAAATACTAAAATGTGCTTAAAGTAGCAGAAAAATATGCAGGGAGCTATTTCAATAATTTAGAGTGAGGCAAACCTCCCTAAGGAAGACCCAGAAACCATGCACAAAAGATTAACATCTGATACTTAAAAACTTTTAAATTTATGCATGGTAAAAGACAACATAAACAAATTTCAAGTGGCATTATGCGAGAAAATATTTGGAACATGTTTAACATTCATTATGTAAAAACATTTCTATAAATAAGAAGAAGACACAGAACCAACAGGAAAATCCAAAAAAAGACTGTGAATAGGCACTTCGTGGAGGATGAAATGTAAACGGCCAATAGGCTCATGGGATGGGAAACATCAGGGAAAGAATATCCATCTTTCATCCCTCCGATCAGTGGGAGTTTAAAATACTGATTACATCAGAGTGGGTTACGGTCGAGAAGACAGGAAAGGGGTGAGTTTCTCGTTCACTGAACGATGCTCAGAGTATTTCCCGTCCCCTCCACACAACGTAAGGCTAGAACAGCCTCGCCACCGTCTTTACTGCGAAACTTGTTCGAGGCCAATTCAAATGCCATCTTCTCCAGAAGTGCCGTCCACGCTCCTCCATGGGCACCATGCCTGCTACAGCACATAACATGTACTGATACCTCGTGCGTAGCCACTCTTTTATGAGTAAATCTGACTGAGGAATGAAAGCTCTTAAAGTCCCTTTCTTCCTTGGATCCTTGGCACTTGGCACAGACCCTTGCTCAGTAAAGAACTTTTTTTTGTTTAAATATATTTTATTGATTTTGTACAGAGAGGAAGGGAGAGGGAAAGAGAGTTAGAAACATCGATGAGAGAGAGTCATTGATCAACTGCCTCTTGCACACCCCCTACTGGGGATGTGCCCGCAACCAAGGTACACGCCCTTGACCGGAATCGAACCTGGGACCTTTCAGTCGCCAAGCCGACGCTCTATCCATTGAGCCAAACCGGTTTCGGCCAGTAAAGAATGGTTTAAAGCATTCACTCACTAATTCACCACCACATTGGGGGTTCCTAAGGTTAAGTTGAGGTACCACTCATGGGCGAGTAAGAGATAAACCTATGAACTGACAGTCCCAATCCGAAGATCCTACTAAGAGATGACACGGGTATGAGAGACAGGATGTACAGGATACTCTGTGATCACCGGTGTGGAAGAGAATGAATCAACCCCTGGGGCTCTTTCTGAGATTTAACAAAATGTTATATATTCTGGCCATGCTGAACTCCTAGTTCAAATCTCACCCCTCCACACCTCCCCCCTTTTCTCTCCCTCCCCCCCATACACGCCATGCCATTTCCCATTCCTGGTTCAGCTCATGGGGTCTTCACTGCTTGGGTTGCTCTTGCTCTTTCTTCACTTGGCTGGCTCAGCTCAAATACAATTTCCACGTGAAAACCTTCCCTGCCTGCTCCCCTTCTCTCCTAGTTCTGCGTTAAATGCTTCCTTGGCACTTCTCCTGAACCACATATGGCTTAATTATAGGACTTAGCATGTCACCATCAAATCATCTGTGCTAAGTGTGTCTCTCCAACAAGATGATAAACGTGGAGGGCAGGGACCATGTGTCATCTGCGTTTAACCACCTCCCTTCCCCTCATCCCAGAGCCTGGGACATGGTAGCTGCTTGCCAAACGTTTGTTGAAAACCTAACAGAAAGAAAGCGAGATGGCACGGTCAAAGCAATGGCAAGCAGCTCTTCTCATTCATTTAATACATATTTTACTTCCTACCATGTGCCAGACACTGCCGGGAGCCGGGGAGAGGGACAGGCATGCGAGATGCCACCCGTGTCCCACAGAGTCTACATGCAGCTCCCGTGGCTGGATGCAGAGTGGGAAGGAGAGGGCACTGGGGATGCATCTGGGTGGTTGCCCAGGGCCAGCTCCTAAAGCGCCTCGCTGTGCCAAACTAAGGAACCAAGTTAAGTCAGGTCTGGGAGGTGGGCAGGAAGGCTGCCAGGGCAGAAAGAGGTCAACGGGGCAGGTCAGCATGCCAAGTGCCCTGTCCGTCCAGGGCTTTCCCCCAGGCCCCGGGCAAGGTCTCTCTCTCCTCCCAGTGACCTGGGGCCACACTCACCTACGGGCACGATGATCCCAATGACAGCAGCAGTGACCGTGGAGCCCGGCTTGCCGCCTTCATTCCCGTCTGCAAAACACAAACACCCGTAGGATGATGTCTCTCGCTTCCAGGGGTCCTCCTGTCCTCTGCATTGTCATTCATTTTTAAGATGTAATTAAAATGGACACAGTATCACGTAGTGGAATCAAGAGCACTGGCCCCTGGATCAGACTTCTTGGATTCAAGTCTAGCTCTGCTACTCACTATCTGTATGACCAAGGACAAGTTATTATATATAATAAGTATATTTCTTTGTCTTTAAAGTGGGGATAATGTTACCTACCTCCTAGGGATACTGTCCAGACTAAATGAGGTGATTCCTGTAAAATGCTTAGCAGAGCGCCCGGTACAGCCTTGTCTCGTTCAGAGAGGGCAGGCAGTGGGGTAGGGTTGTTGTAAAGCCTAAACACGATAGGGGGGGTCCCTGTAGAGAAGCACATTCTAAACTGAGAAGTGCTGCCGAAGCCAGTTTGGCTCAATGGATAGAGCATCGGTCTGCAGACTGAAAGGTCCCAGGTTCGATTCCGGTCAAGGGCATGTACATTGGCTGCGGGCACATCCCCGGTGGGGGGTGTGCAAGAGGTGGCTGGTCGATGTTTCTCTCTCATCGACGTTTCTAACTCTCTCTCCCTCTCCCTGCCTCTCTGTAAAAAAAATCAATAAAATATTAAAATAAATAAATAAATAAATAAACTGAGAAGTGCTTGGAAAGTGAACTGTCGTTTTTAAAAAGTATGTGGCATCATCTTCCCACTCTCACAGCCACCTTCACCGCCACGTGTGTACGGCACTTTGTAGTCTGGAAGGCCTTCCTCCCTGGGACCCTCCTGCCGCGGGAGGGTCTGGGCGGGAAGAGAAGCTGTCATCTGCTTTTGCTCCAAGAGAGATGACTGCCCCCTGACAGTGGCCCAGTGTGTCTGTTTCTCCAAGCCGCTCCGAGGGAGCCTGATATTGAGGGGAGAGAAGAGCTGCACTGCTTACACAGCTACCATGGCAACGTGGCTGTCCTCTCCCTGCGGCCCAGCAAACCCTGGGCAGCGATCCTAAAGCCTGGAGCATGACACACCCCAGCGGCGGCGCCCTGGCTGAGGGGAACTGGAATCACACATGTTCCACCCGCCTCCCAAACCTGCAGGTAGGTGCCCAGCTCTGAAACCCCAGCTTCTGCCGGGAGGACAGATCCAGCCAGCAAGGTGCTGCCGAGCGGCCGGGTTTCTGGGCCTCACGTGCACGGGAAAGCATTTCCTCTTAATTTACTCCCCTCGGCTGGTAACTCAATTAAAAAGGGTTTGCTGGTTAATGAGACAGGACTTTTCCGGCAGTGATAATTACTGCTCCCGATGATTTAATTAGTGGGGGAACCTAATGACTTTCAGCCCGGGGTTTGGGAAGAGGCACAAGCAGACTAGTTATGGATATTATTATCTGAGGGATCACTGAGGGTGTCGAGAACTGAGACCAGAACTTCTGAAGTTTCCATATCTAAGGGGCACTCCTTCCTATACATGTCGGTACACGTGACACAGAAACCCCGCCCCCCACCCCCCATTGCAGCAGAGGCTGTGTGTGTGAGCACTTCGATGACACCATCTCCTTTGCCTCTCATGGCAATCTGGTGAAGAAGTAGGAGAAGGGTTGTTATTATTCTACTTTGTAGGTGGGGAGACTGAGGCTCAGAGACGGGAAGTAGCTTCCTTTAAGACCCTCTGAAGTTAGGGGCACCCAAGACTCCTAAATCATAGGTGAGCACTCCACCTCAGAGATACCCACTATTCAGCTCTGGTACGACCTCCCCTTCCCACATATGCCCCGCCGTGGGTGCCCACAGAATGAGAGGAAGCAGAACTCATTTCCTTACAGTGCTGGGAGTGGTTGCTGGTTGCAGGGCTTGGGATAGACGGGCCGATGCTGGACGCCTCGGGGACACTGACTGAGCTTGGGGCTGCAGCTGCCGGGCGTGGCGTCTCTGTGCTGTGGTTCCGGTGGGTGGGGCTGTGGATGGCGGTGCCTGGAGCCCTTGCAGAGTCGGCTTCCGTCCTCGCTGTGGGAGAGGCTAACGTCGTAGTTGAGGTAGATTGAGATGCTGGAGGGGGAATACCACGGAGGTCACTTGGACAGAGAATTTTATTGATTTAGTTCCTGCATTATTGACTCATGGACTCTACTTAAGAACGTATCCAGTTCAAGCACCATTTCTGGGTAGCCTGAAGGGACTGCGCTCTTTTCTTTAGCTGTAGCCCAAGCGCCACGCCCGAGTTCATACTGCATGCTGATGTGAGAAAGATGAGTTATTAAAACAATGCTGAGAATTAGGCGTGGGCAAGGCCGCCGTGAAAGTCTGGGAGGAGGGAAAACCCTATCGATCTAGGAGGATTTTACACACATCCCGTTACACCATTAGGGCTAAATTGTCACTCCACTTTAAACAACTGCATCTGGAAATCACAAATAGTACAGTGGATTTTTGCTCAAACAAAAGGCTTTGGGCCTGCATTAAGACCTCGGAATGAGTAGAAATTTATATGGCTAAAGTATGAACTATTAGCCTTGATCATGTCACAAAGGGCTTCTATGTCATGTGTTACGTTCTGGGCAGGAAACAGGGAAGCTCCTAGTCACCTGCATATAAACAGTGGTAATGCCATGGAGATAAAGGTTGTTTTGTTTTAAATTTATTGACTTGAGAGAGAGAGAGAGAGAGAGGAAGGGAGAGAGCCTGAGAGAGAAACATGGAGTTGTTGTCCCACATATTTATGCATTCATTAGTTGTTTCTTGAATATGCCCTAACCAGAGATGGAACCCGCAACCTTGGCATAGAAGGATGATGCTCTAACCCACTGAGCTACCCAGCCATGGCCCATCAAGGGTTCTTAATTTAAAATCTTAAAGGGGATCCTGAAAGTCTTGGGGGAGTGGGAGGAGGAAAGCCTTGGAAGGACCCGGGGACACCAGCCCTGAAGGCAGGGGAAGCAGAGGAGCCCGCGAAAGCCTCCGGCAGCCAGAGCGGTGGAGGAAGCCCTGGGAGCCAGGGGGAGGCCCGCTTACCTCGGTAACACCTCTTCCTGTCGGGGCCCAGCCACATGGTGTCAGGACAGGCACACGTGTACTTGGGAGAGTGGCTGGAGAGCTGAGGAGCAGGAAGGCACAGGTACTCACAGCCGCCGTCCGGCTGGGCACTCAGCTCGCAGGCGTCTCCAGCTGGTGGGGGGAGGGAGGGAGAGAGGCGGGCCCCTGCCACACCGGAGCTGGGCTCACCCCACAGCCTCGCGTTCCTGACCACAGCGCTCCGAGGTGGGCTCTAGGCCCCGGGTTGACAGAAGGCCGCTACGCTTACACGGGGAATACATTTGTCAAGGCTGTACCTCTAGGGGTTTGGGAGGCAGATTTAAACTGAGGCCTGTTTTTCTCCCTATGTCCCCAGCCATTCCTCTTACTTTTTTAAATTTCTAAATCTAGAATCAGGGCCTCACCTTATCTCCTTATCCCCTATGACCTGCACCCTGGCAGCCAACCCCTCAGTTACAGTGACACTTAGTACACCTCAGAGATAGAGGAGGCGACAGCAGGTGGTAGGATTCCTGGCTTCTATTCCCAACCAACGGCCTGAATCACAATCCGGCCCCAGGATTCACTAGTTTATGCTACTGTCAAATGGGTCCACATAATAAACGAGAAACAATGTGCTCCTTGTGGCAGAAGGGGCTCTGGAATCTGAGCTAACAATATTTTACCTCTCTGAGCCACCGCTTCCCCAATTGTTAAATGAGAACAGTAATACCCACACTTTATAGGATTGGCAAAAAGAGGGCACTTATATATTTACTAGAGACCTGGTGCACAAAATTCATGCATGGCGGGGGTGGTGTCCCTCAGCCCAGCCTGCACCCTCCCCAATCGGGGACCCCTCAAGGGATGTCAGACTGCCCATTTAGGCCCAATCCCACCAGGCAGTTGGACATCCCTCTCACAATCCAAAACTTCTGCTCCTAACTGCTCGCCTGCCTGCCTGCCTGATTGCCCCCAACCACTTCTGCCTGCCAGCCTGATTGACAACTAACTGCTCCCCTGCTGGCCTGATTGCCCCTAACTGCCCTCCCCTGCTGGCTTGGTCACCCCTAATTGCCCTACCCTGCCAGCCTGGTCGCCCCTACCTGTCCTCCCCTGCAGTCCTGGTCACCCCCAACTATCTTCCCTTGCTGGCCCAATAACCCCTAACTGCCCTCCCTTACCAGCATGGTTGCCCCTAACTGCCCTCCACTGCAAGCCTGGTCATCCCCAACTGCCCTGCCTTGTAGGCCTGGTCCCTCCCAACTGCCCTCCCCTGCTGGCCTGATCACCCACAATTTCCCTCCCCTGCAGGCCTCGTCCATCCCAACTGCCCTCCCCTGCTGGTCTGATCCCACACAACTGCCCTCCCCTGCCGACCATCTTGTGGTGGCCATCTTGCGTCCACACGGGGATGGCCATCTTGTGTTGGAGTGATGATCAATTTGTATATTACCTCTTTATTAGCTAGGATTTCTTTATACCCAGGCTTATTTCACCAAGGGCTTGCTTGAGGCAAAACGAAATAAGACCCGTGACAGCTCACACTCGGAGGAGTTGCTGCCTTAGATACTACGCTGCATGTGCCTCGTGGAGGGACAGGCCGTGGGCAGGGGACGGGACCGGGAAGGCTCACCTCTCGGCTGCTTCAGCTCATGGAAGATGACGATGTCGTGCGGGTTGTTGAGGTTCTCAGCCAGGACAGAGATTTCCAGGCCGCTGAGCCGGTTCGCACTGAAAATGGCCTCGTTCTCCAGGTCTGTCCAGTACACCTTGTCCTGTGGGTGCAGAGGAAAGGCTGGGGGCCTAGAGCCTAAACCCAGGACCCCAGTCTGAGGGTCCAGCCCCAAAGCCTGGTCATGAGAACTGCCCTGCTGTCTGCCTGAGCTCTCCTGTCCACAGGCGCAAGGGGACGCAGCCGCTGACCTGTGGATGTGCTCGGCGCCCCTGTCTCAGAGTGTCCTTTGGTGATTTGGTGCTTTGGCCTAGAGGCTGCTCGTTAGCGCTCAGCTAGGCCTGCTGCCTGGGTCTCTATGAGCTTTACCATTACTCGGGCCCAGGACCATGATTGGAGAGGATGTGCGAGCTACTGAGGACTATTCCCTGCTGGGCTGCCTACAGCCTCTGGGCACAACACATAGGTTAATCCATACAAGCCTGGATGTGCATCTGTAGAGATGTCCACATTGACAGGAACAAACATGTAGCTTCATGCACAGACTGGACACATACCCACATGCTCGACACACACAAAGGCACACTTGTACCTAAATAAGCACTTATGTAAGTATTGGAATACATATTTATGTGCACAAGCACCAGCATATACAGGAATACATTCTTTCTTTTCTTTTTCTTTCTTTCTTTTTTTTTTTTTAGCGAGAGAGGGAGGGAGAAAGTATGAGGAGGGGGAGGGGGAGAGAGAGAAAGAGAGAGAAAGAAAGAGAAAACATGGATGTGAGAGAGATACATTGATCAATCGATTGCTTCCTTACTGGGACTGAACCTACAACAAGGTATGTGCCCTGACTGGAAACTGAACCCACAATCCACAATCATCAGGTGCACAGGACAACGCTCCAACCAACTGAGCCACACTGGCCCGGGCAAGGAAAGCATGCTTTTAAATGTATTCATGTACACACATGCACATACATATATATTTACATGTACGGGTCACAAGTATGCACAAGCACATACATGTGTCCGAACACACCTGTCTTGAAGCAGGGGCTGGGCTTGCCCATAAATTCAGAGCACAGCTGGGTGATGTCGCTCCAAGCAAACACTGCCAGTGCCCACCACAGACCACTGCCCCCTGCCTCCCCTCCCTTGGTGGCAGAGTTAGTTTGGGGGCAGAAGCAGAAGTGTGAGACCGTGATTGGTTCTTGCTTCTTTGTTCCCCGAGGAGAAAGGCTAACAGGGTCAGAACAAAGGAGGGTCTGAACGCTCACTCCTGGGAGCTTCGTGGCCTGGGATAATGTCTGCTTCACTCTGTGACCCCAAGGTCCAGAAAGGGTCAGTAAAAGTATGCTGAGTTGAACAGTATCTTTCAGGCCATTTCCAACAATAAATCATTATAAGGAAATATAGACCCCTCCCTCCCTCCCCCCTCCCTCCCATAACTGGGTGCCTTGTGTATATGTGGGCCCAGTGCTGGGTGCTGCAAGTTTTCAGAGAGAACATGTGGTCTCACAACTTACCTCTGAGCTTGCTCTGAGAGAGGGGGCTTGGGAAGGGAGCACAGGGGCGCTGCCAGGGGACACGGCCACGAAGCCTTTGCGTGGAGGCCACGCACAAAGGCACAGACACGCCGGCTGGCTCCCGGCCCGCGGTTTCTATTCGGACAGCCTCAGGGAGCCGTCCTACCTGAGTGCACCTTTTCTAGGCTTCGGCTTCCTAGGGGCCATGCCTCCCGCACAGGCTCACCTCAAACACAGCGATCCCAAAGGGGTGGCTCAGGAAGTCGGGGGAGAAGATCAGCATCTTCCTGTTGCCTCCGCGGAAGTCAATGCTGGACAGCTGGTGCAGCTTGGAGTCCACCCAGTATAAGCGCTGGCTCAGCAGATCTTGGGGAGGCAGGAAGGGACAGGGGACCGGGTCACCAGCCTGGGACCACAGCCTGGACCTCTGCCCTTCTGTGCCCCCTCCAGCCCACATCTCCAGGCCAGGCCTCCGCCTGAGCCCGTCCCGGGGCAACCATCAGGGCGCACAGGCCTGGCACCGTGAGGGGTGCAGGAACAAGACCCAGGGGCTCGGTCAGGGCCAGGTGCCGGCACAGCTCCCCCGGAGGGCAGGGCTCACCCAGGGTGATCCCGTTGGGCCACTCAATGTCGTCCGACACCAGCGTTTGCCGGTCCGCACCGTTGAGCCCAGACTTCTCAATCTTGGCCTGGTACCCCCAGTCAGACCAATACATAAACCTGAAAGAGAGGAAAACCCAACAGGGCTTCTTGTCAGGGACACAGGGGGGGGCCAGTGACCCACTGAATGTTGATGATGACCCGTGGTAGGGCTGGGAAGGCCTGAAATCCTCGGGAATGGCCGGTCTTGGCCGTAGCAGGTGCGTAGGCCTTCACCTCATCCGAGTGCGGGGAGCCTGTGCTCCCGTGCCCCCGGCCGCTGTGGGTGGCCGGAGCCATCTCTCCCCCAGCGGCTCCAGCCACAGCCCTGGCTGCCCGTGTGGGGAGGGCCCTCGCCCACCCTCTCTACTGCCCGGTCTGCGGAGGAGGAAGTGGATGCCACACGGCGAGACTGACCAGGGCCTGCCTCTCTTTCTTTCCTGGACATGCACTGAGCACTCACTGTGTGCCAGGCTGCGTGGTTTCACCTCACGTACCTACATCAGGACTACGGAGGAAGTCGAAGGGAGGCAGATTGGGGAATATGAGAAAACAAACAAAACGAAACAAGCAAATCCTTCCTGATGGGCAGCAATGTCCCCGGATGAGACAGGAAGTGCGTGAGCAGCCACCGGAGGCCCCCCTGCGGCATGAGGGCAGGCTCTCCGCCTCGGAGCGTTTACAGGCCATTTCCAGGGCCGCCCTGTGCGCTGAGACCCCGTGTCCCTGACTCCGTGACACGATGCACGGGCGGCAGAGTCCTGGAGGCGGAGGGGCCTGCTCGGACTCTCCTCCCGTGGGCTGCGCCGAAGGCCTTCCGAAGCCCTCAGGCTAGCTCTGAGGACGGACCCCCGGGGACTGGGCGGCTGCGAGCCTGTGGGGGGAGGACGGGACGCTCACCCTCGCAGGGGGTCCAGGGCGATGGCCCGGGGCTCGCTGAGGTCGTGGCTGAACAGAGTGCGGCGGCGGCTGCCGTCGACCGTGGCCACCGAGATGGACTTGTTGCCCGAGTCGGTCCAGTAGATGTGCCTGTGCACCCAGTCCACCGCCAGGCCCTCGGGGGAGTGCAGCTGCGCGTCGACAAGGACCTCCTGCTCCGCCGGGTCGCTGGCCTTGTCCATGTACGCGCTGGGAGAGCCGGAGTGGCCGTGGGCAGCTGCCCCGCCCACGCGTCTCCCCCCCCCCCCGGGGGCTGCCTGTGAGCCCTCCCCCCCCCCCCCCTTCCCTCTTCTCCCCTCTCCCCCTCTGGGCGAGGGCAGTGGGTTTTAGAGGAGCTTAGCTAATTTCTACTCAATGCATCCCCTGGGCCACCAGGGTAAGCGCGTAGGCCTGGATCAGCCACAGCCTCCAGCCTGGAGGAGCTCATTTTGTTGGGGACAGAAAGCTACAGCCAGATCATCACAGTACGATGTGAATGACATAAGCCACTCGGGGCTGTGGCAGCAGAGAAATGGAGGCGGCATCGTCCCGGGGGCATGCAGAAGGCTTTGTAGGTGAGTCCTGAAGTCCCGTGCATTAGGGGCACAGAGATCAGCGCGGGCAGACGCCCAGGGGCGTGTGTCTGGAGTGCTGAAGGAGGCGCAGCATTAGTGGAGGGGGAGCTGGGACAGAAGGCTGGAAGTCATGTGGGAAGGGGCCGCATTGGTGAGCTCTGCATGCCACGCTGAGGATTTTAGGTCAGATGGGCATGTGAGGTCACTGTGGCACTGAGTCCACTATGAGGTGGACTGAAAGGGCAGAATGAAGGCAGGGAGACTGGAGGGGCCGTTTACTGTCTAGGTGTGAGATCAAGAGGGAGGCTGTGCCAGTGAGAATGGAGGGAAGGGGCTGAAAACATAGTGGACGCCCAGGAGGCAACATTAACAGGACTTTCTGTCTCCCAAATGCCGTTTCCCCCGAGGTTTTCTCTCCCCATAACCGCTCTCTGGGAGGCTAGTTCCACGGTGCCCGCTGCCCTCCATGACTCTGACTTTCCCTTCCCAGCCCCTCTCTGAGCTCCAGACGGTAAAGCCAACTGGCCCCCCTTGGATGTCCAGACACCTTAAACTCAATACATCCAGAACCTTCACCCCACCGCCCTCCCCTCAGCCAGCCTGCTGGACTGCCCCACAGCTCCCACCTCAGAGAACCTCCCGGGCCAGAACCTAAAACTCCCCAAATGAACCTGGAAGCTCATCTGACTCTTCCGCCTCAGCCCCGCTTCGCCTGTCACCAAATCCCCCCTCTTTCAGGAACAGCTGCCGGGACAGGCGAGCTGTTTCTGTGTGTGAGTGTGAACGGAGTGTGTGACCCTGTGTTGGGGGCGGGGCGGTAGTCATTGAATTATCAGTGAGTAACATTTGGTATATTTGTTTCTACCTTTCCACCCGTCTGTCCATCCACCCATCCATCCCCTCATTCTTTCAACAGCCTCCCCAGTGCCCGGTCCTGGCAGGTCTGCTGAGGGGATGGATCTCAGACAAAGAAAGGCTGTGACTGCCCCAAGGGACGGGGCCGGCCAGCTCGTGGTATCTGAGAAAGAGCGGGAGGAGGGAACCGAGTGTGTGAGGAGCTTTCCTGGGAGCGGAAGGTCACTGACTGGTGTCACAGACACAGGGAAGGGCCGGACTGGGGTGCTGCATCGGGAAGGTTTCCCTGACCCCCTGGTTGGGTCAGAGGCCTCCTCTGTAACTCCCCTCATGACTCATGATCGTCACAATGGATGTCACTGCACTGTGAGTGGGTTCTCCAGGCATCTGTGTCATTTCTGAGTCCTCAGGATCCAACACACAGACCCGTGAGCTGCTTTGAAATCCTCACCAAAGGCAGGGATTCCTTCCTTTCTGCCCTGACTGCACATTCCCTACTAGGCCACTGGGGGGCAGCCAAAGCCCAGGTGTTTGGAGCTCACAGCTGCTCTCCCAATGGAGGCACAGCCTAAGGCCAGGCCAGGGTGTGTGTGTGTGTGTGTGTGTGTGTGTTGAGGCGGGGGAGGGTGGTAGTGGTGGTGTATGTGTGTGTGGGAGGGGTCCTTCCATAGCCACTGTGATTCCGTGTCCCTTCCTAAGCTCCAACTCAGTCCTGGAGAATTCCAGGGGCAGAAAGAGCCCAGAGACCACCTTCTTCTCTGCCTCCGGCAGCTCCCCCGCCAGGCGTGGCTGCTCACCTGTAGATCTTGCGGTAAGAGAGGTCGCACCAGTAGATGCGATTGGTGGCCACTTCCACGTCCAGCGCCACGACGTTCTTGAGCATGGGGATGAGGCGTGAGTAGTCCCGCTTCACCAGGTCTATCCTCCGCACCTCGTGCCGGTTGGTGAAGATCAGGGACGGGCTCCTGCCAGCTGCCACGCAGAGAGAGAAAGAGCAAGAGGTTAGGAAGGGGAGACTGAGGCTCTCTCGCTGGTTTGCTGGGCGATGCCTCCTTTTCCCGTAGAGCAGATGGCAAGTCCTATCTCACAGGGTCAAGGAGCAGATGAAACTATTGTTACAAAAGCGTAAGATGCAAACGTACCACACATAACAGAAGGATTTTCCCTCTTTTTATTAAATGCAAATTTCTACAATCCCCCCCATTTCCTCCTCAGGCTGGCACTGAAGGCTGTGTGACCTAACCCTCCCTGTCCAGCCTCATCACTCGCCTCTCCAGCCACCTCCATTCCAACCTCCGGACCGCGACCGTTACTCAGCTGCCTCGGAGCTTTGCTGCCTCGGGGCCTTTGCTGACGTTGTCCCTCTACCTAGAACACACCTCTCCCCAGCAACTACCACCTCCTGGCTTCAGGGCTCCACTGCGATAGTCCAAGAGGGGCAACAGGAGCACTGAGTGCTTTACAAAGACGACTGAGGATCCAGGATGGAGGACAGACACGGGAGCTGGGGTGAGATTGGAGGGAGGAGGAGATTAGAGAGGAGATTCAGGAAGGCCATTGTGAGTCTTTATGTGGCATGTATTTAGGGACATAGAGAGAAGGCTGCAGAGGTTGGCAGGGGCCAGACCATGAAGCGTCCTCTCAGCTGGGCGAAGAATCTGCACTTTATTCTGAGCCAACAGCAGGGCTGGGATGTGTGCAATATATGACACATATGATGCATGTGCATACACAAAACCCACTTACGGACTGAAGATTAGATTTCAGGAAGGCCATCAGTGACCTAGACATTCCTGGCTACTGCCTCAGGAGGGCACACCATGTCCCTCATCTACTCCAAACCCTCAGAAGCCTCCCCTGACTCCGAATGGAACCCGGGGTCACCCCTCGCTGGGAGGAGGAGACCTGTGTGATCTGCCCCAGTCACCTCTCTGACTTCCTCCTGTTCTCCTTCTCCAGCTGCACTGGCTTCCTCACTGTTCCTTGAAACCAGGCATGCTCCTGGCTCAGGGCCTTAGCACGTCTGTGCCTTCGCCGGTGGCTGTTCCTGCAGATAGGTGCACGGCGGCTCACTCCTTCACCGCACAGGCCGCCTTCTCACGAAGGGGAGGGCCCGACCACTCTAACCAAAAAGGCTAGCCACTGCCCCTCCTGGGCCTCCCCGCTTCTCCTTCCCTGCGTTAAGAGTCCTCCTAACCCTATTGCTCTCGGCCGCACACTGTACTCTATTTATTTGTCTGGCTTCTTGTCCGTCTCACCCACTAGGATGTCAGTCCCACAAGGGCAGACAAGGATGTGTGTCTGTTTTGCTTACTGCTGAGCCTGCTGCCTACCACGTTAGGTGTCCCGTACAAAGGACTAAATGAATAAAATGAATGACTGCATGCAGTTGGCTGAACTGACCGGTGAGGTCTGCATGTGCCATGCTCCTTGCGTGGGCTGCTGATGCTGTGTGTGCAGTCTGCATGGCCCAGCTTGCCTGTGTTGTTTCTGTGGGCTGTTCTGGGAGGCTTTATGCAGCGTCTGGGTGTGTGTGTGTGCGTGTGCAGAGCAGCGTGCGGTGTGTGTACACTCCTAGTCCTGTGTGCGCACACCCCCTCCTCACCCATCAGAAGCACAATGCTTTCTGCACCTCCCCAGAGCTTCCCTCCCCCGCACCCTGGGGCGTCCATACCGACGGCCTTGCAGTTCTTGGTCAGCGTGTCCATCTCGTAGCCAGGGTGGCACTCGCACTTAAAGTAGCCCTTGTAATTGACACAGATCTGGCTGCAGGCGTCCGGGTCCTCGCACTCGTCGATGTCTGTGGGGAAGGGCGGGGGTCAGGGCTGGCGGGAGGCTGGGCCTCTGCCTGGGGGCCGAGGGGCGGGCCTCACCGCCGCAGGTCTTCTGGTCCAGGAGCCGGTAGCCTGCGGGGCAGGTGCACTCAAAGCCGATCTTGAGGTCGTTGCAGATGTGGGAGCAGCCGCCGTTGTTGTGCAGACACTCGTTCAGCCCTGGAAAGGGACACGGGCTCCTGAGGGTCCAGGAGCCCAGCCTGGGGTGGAGGCCGGATAGGGGAGGGCCAGGGCTGAAGCAGAGCCTCAGGGCAGCGGGACTCCCAGGAGCCAGGATGCTTTGTGGCCTCCCTGGACCTCAGCCTCGTTAGCCAGGCGACTGGGCAAGAGGTGGGTCAGAGGGGAGCGGTCCTCGCTGCAGGCCAGACACACAGACAGGGACAGAGCGGAACCAGAACTCCGGTCCTTTGCCTCCCAGGCCAGGGCTCTCTGCCGGCTGCTCGGCTGCCCAGGGTTTTTCCTTTCACAAACAAGTTTCTTCCAGCTTTTCCTTCCTCGTGGCCTCAGAGTGGAGAGGCCTGCTTGTGCTATGTCCAACCCCTGCTGAACGCCCTCGCTTCAGCCTCTGCAGCCTCTGCAGCACCCCCTCCCTCGGAGGGAACAAAGTCCTTCCTCACAGGACCTCCTCTGTGGTTTCTGCTCCCGCTCCCAGCTCTGCGTGTGGGGCTGACCAGTCTAATGGCTCCCTCAGAAACTCCTTACAGCACTGGTGTCTGATCCCTACCCATCAGCCACCTTTCTCTGGACACACCCCATTTGTCATGTCCCGCTGGGCAGGGCCCGGAGCCAGCCCACCACGCAGAAGTCTGAACAGTCTCCCCCGTTTTGAGTGTGTGGTTATCTAAGATCCCCGGGTCTTTTTCTATTCTGAGCGGCTGCTAAGTCTGTGCCCTCCTTACCATGAACAACAATGGGTTTTTTTCACCTCTCCTCCAGCACCCGTCTATTCCTACTCTTAGCCACCGGCCTGGTTCTGGGATTACCGACTCCTGCAAAGGATGACGGGATGCCAGGAGGCCCTCTGGTCATCCACTCCCTCATCACCTTCCAGCAGGGTCCCAGGGGAGGTCAGAGAGGCCAGGACCAAAGCTCGCAAGTTCTCACAGACAGCATCTTCTGAGCTTTGGAATCACAGGAGGTTAATTCTGCAAGCCAAGGGGAGGTGCCAACCACCCCTCTGCCCTCTGGGCTCATGCACCACCACGCCAGCCAAGCCAAGCAGAGCTGAGCCGAGCCAGCCGGGACCATGCAAACAGCTGGCTGGAACTGCCTGCCCCAGGCCATGCACAGCTGTGGGGCCCCACCTCCAGCCTAAGCCATGCTTGGGGAATGTTCCCCTTTACCCCTGGGCCTCCTCCTGTTTCCCTGAGAGGCTGGTCGAGCTGAAAGAACAAGACCACAGCAACCCCGTGACTGGGGGGGCCTGGGAGTGACTCGGCCAGGCCCAGCCCCTGTGCATGGGCTAAGCCACGGCACCTCTGGGGTGATATCTGTGGAGCACCACCTCCAGGAATCTTGCTGTCACTCCAGGCCCTCCCTGACCCCTCCCGCACCCTAAGATTCCCTCAGCACCACCCATTCACTTGTTTACCCACTCGCTCCCTGACTCATTCATGCACCCACTCACTTCCTCTCCCCTTTTGCAGGTAGCAGCAACCCAACACTTGTATTTACAGGAGCCCCTGATGGAGTGGCAGGTGTAGGATGGCTTGGGAAGGGGAGATGGGAAAGCACAGAGTCTTCCGGGGCTGAGGTGGTCAGGGTGAGAATGGGTAGCGGCCTCGGACCTTTCTGACCCTGTCCACCCATCCCTGGAGAGCCAGCGCCAAGGGGGAGGCTGGAGGGGAGCCTCTGGGCCTTCCCAGTTCTATCCAGCCTGGAGGTGATTCTTTAGGGGGGGGTTGAGGGCGGGGGGGGGGGCAGATGCTGAGTAGCACAAGGTTCCCCATAGATGGAAGGGCAGTGACACTTTCCCAGCACATGCACACACGGGCATGCACACACCTGCACACACACGCATGCACACACACACCAGCTTACGTGCAGAGGCAGACAGGCCCATGGGCTCCACAGACACACGCACACAGACGTGGGATCACGCACAGAGTCCGTGATGCAGTTCCCTTGCCTGACTCAGAGAAGGAGCCATGGATACAGACACTGGCCTCTCGCCAGCACAGAGACACAAACACATGCCTACATACTTCTCTTTGGCGCGTCATGCAAAAGACGAGAGAGAAGAGAGTTTAGTGGGTTAGTAGTCCGTGGCCAGCTCCCAGGCCGGGCGGGGGTGGGTGGGGCTGGGCTCAGTGGCTCCTGCTTCCTATCCTCTTCCATCTCCTTCTGGGACTTCTCTTGGCAGAGCCTTGGAGAGAGTGGGGGCGGGCTAGTCTGTCACCTGGAAGCTCAGGGCAGGCTGTGACCTTCACCCAGCTACTCTTCCTTTCAAAATCCACTTTAAAATCTTCAACAGGGGCAGCCACGTGCTGCTCCTACGGGGCTCCGGAGAATGAAGCTCCTCTGAGGACCCAGGAGGGCGGTGCTGGGTGACAATGGGCCTGCCAGGCAGGGCGGGAGGGCGGGCCTGGCCGAGGCTCTGTCCAAACCCCTGACCTCAGACATGGCTTCTGCCTGTTCCCTGGGATGCCCACCCACCTGCAGCCCAGACTCCTGCTCTTTTCAGCGTGGGACGCTCCTGCCCCTCTTCCCTCCCCGACAGCTCTAGCCACCAGGTCGCCCGCTCCTTCTGCGCCTCACTCTTGTCCGGCCTGTGAGCCTGGGTCCCAGGAAATCTAAGCTCCTCTGCTGCACCGGGCCTGGCCTGAGCCTGCTCTTCCCCACCTCGCCTCCGGCAGGTGAGCAGGGCAGAAACACTGAGTAAGCGAGAAGGTTCCAGAGTGAGCACACACTCAGAGGTCGGCGTGTGGGAGGAGGAGGAGGAGAGGCTGGGTTTGTGAGAGGAAGCATGGCTGTGAGCACCCGGGCCGGAAAGGAGAGGCCGTCCTATTGGTAGAGATGCAGCACGAGGGGCCCCGAAGCGGGCGGGTCCGCCAGAGGCCACAGGGCAGCGGGGTCCAGAGGGAGGGCCAGAGAGGAAGGGGTGCCCGGGGCGGCGAGGGCCGTGGCCTGGCCGCCGGGAGGGGCGTGGAGGGGGTTAGTCCGGCCGTGGGATGCAGACAGGTACTGTACCACACTCTTTCAGAGGCTCATCCGACCAGTCCCGGCAGTCCCTCTGAGAATCACACACTTTCCCGCCGTCCACGCACTCGCCACTCTTACACTGAAATCTGCGGGGACCCTCACATGCGGACTCTGTTGGGCCAGACAAGAGAGTGGACGGCTCCTGAGAGGCCTTCGGCAGGGAGGGCTGGGCCGGGCCCAGCCTCCGAAGGGAGGGTGTCTGTACCTGATACTGCAGCCCCAGGGCCCAGGGAGGGCACAGTGTCAGCTCCACAGGCCCCGGGGGCTGGACGGAGCATGTCCTGGGGGACCTGTGTCCAGGGGCCCTGGGCAGGGGAGGCTGCCTTGCTGCCCTCTTCCCCAGGTGACCAGGAGGCCTCTACTCCTGCAGGGGTGAGTGATGCCCAGAAGGGCCATCTGAGGACGAGGGGGCTCCCTGGGGATCAGGACAGTCCCCCGCTCAGTCTGGGACCAAGGTCGGAAAGCCACGCGGAGACTCGGACCCGGACAGACGGTGGGGATGGGCTTCCTGCAGCGCCCTTTCATGCAGTCCTTAACCATCTGGTCCCGGTGCCACGAGGACCGCAGGGAGGGGAGCAGGTGGTGTGGGGCAGATAATGCTCGTGGGGGGGGGGGGATGCATCTTGGGGACGGAGGGGCGGCAGCTGCAAGCTCTGCTCTCCCCGCTGGAGCTGGGGGAGCTCGGGGCTCCCGGGGAGGGTGCCGCCCCTCGGCTCCCACCACACGCACCCTTCAGGCAGCCAGCTTCATCGCTCCCATCCGGACAGTCCTGCTCCTGGTTGCAGCGCTTGGTGGCAGGGACACAGGCTCCGTCCCCACACCGGAACTCGTCTCCACGGCAGGTCCCCAGTGCTGCCCGGACAGGCCGAGGGACAGGGTCAGAGCCAGCGCGGTGCTGGGCCAGCTCCTCTCCCCCTCCTCTCCCTGTCCATCCCTCCCCCCTCCCCCCTCCCCGTCCACCCCTCCCCCCTCCCCGTCCACCCCTCCCCCCTCCCCGTCCACCCCTCCCCCCTCCCTGTCCACCCCTCCCCCCTCCCTGTCCATCTCTCCCCCCTCCTTATCCACCCCTCCCCCCTCCCTGTCCACCTCTTCCCCCTCCCTGTCCCCCTCTCCCCTCCCTGTCCACTCCTCCCCCCTCCCCGTCCACCCCTCCCCCTCTCTGTCTACCCCTCCCCCTCCCTCCCTGTCTACCCCGCCCCCCTCCCTGTCCATCCCTCCCTCCTTCCTGTCCACCCCTCCCCCCTCCCTGTCCACCCCTGGCCAGAACAGAACCAGTGGCTGAGCCTAGGGACCCCGAAGGACATCCGACCAAGGCACTTCCAGTGTACAGAGGGGAGACTGAAGCTCAGAGAGGGGAAGGCCGCACCCGGGGGGCACACAGCACTCCGGCCGCCAGCCGGCAGAGCCAGGACTAAACTCAGGTCTCCTGTTTCTCCCTCTCCTGCCTCTCCCCGGGGCTACCTCTCCAGCGGATACATGGCCTTCTTTCGCTTTTGGTGCTCATCTCTTAGTGACTTCACCCTTCGGCAGCCCCTTTTGAGCTCCCAGTGTGTGCCCTCGCCATACCAGGCATGAGCACCCTGAGACTGCTAAGAGCTTCCCCATCCTAGGCCAGTGTTTCCCAAAGTGTGGTACACGTACCCCCAGGGGTATGGGGAGAGTTTGGGGAGGGGGAGTACGCCTTGCGCGGGGGTTTGGTGGGCGTATGCACTGCACCGTGCTTAGCTGCGCCTAATTCTACCTTCTCATGAGTACGAGGGGTACTCCGCGTTACGAGAATTATAGAAGGGGTCCACCTGTGTCAGAAGTTTGGGAAACACCGCCTAGACCTAGGACGTTGAGGTGTGGAGCGTTGGAAGAGAAGGCAGCTGGGCGGCCTGCGGGAGGCCAGGGGAGAGACCCGGCTCAGCTGGGAGGATTCCGGGGCGCAGGCCCGGCAGGCAGGAGGGTGGCGGGGCTCCTGAGGGAACCCCCCTGCCTGGGACCGGAAAGGGCAGGGTGTGACGGGGGGAGGCCACAGCCACCCTGGAGACCCTGGGCCTCAGGAGTTAGGCCTGAGCTCTCAGGAGCCACGTGCGCTGGGGCTCGGGCGGGACCGGCGGGCAGGGCGCCGGGCCGGGCGGAGGAGGGCGCTTACGGCAGTCGGCCTCGTCGGACTGGTCCTTGCAGTCGCGGTCGCCGTCGCAGCGCCAGCCCCGGTGCACGCACTCGCCGCTGCGGCAGGCGAAGCGCGCGGGCCCGCAGGCGGCGGGCGCGGAGGCGGTGGCGCTCCCCGGGCTCCCCGGGCCCCCGGGGCCGCAGAGCGCGGCCGCCTCGTCCGAGCGGTCGGCGCAGTCGGGCTGGCGGTCGCAGAGCCAGCGCTCGGGGACGCAGGCGCCGCCGTCGCCGCAGCGGAACTCGCGGGGCCCGCAGGCCGGGCCGGCGCAGCCGCGCTCGTCGCTGCCGTCGCCGCAGTCGTCGTCGCCGTCGCACACGAACACGGCGGCCAGGCACGAGCGGTTGCGGCACTGGAACTCGTGCGGGGCGCACACTGCGCGGGACAGAGAGCCAGCCGGTCGGCCCGCCGAGCCCCGTCCCCCGGAGCCCCGGTCGCCGGTCCCGCTGCGGGGCCGGAAGGAGCCCTGCCTGGGGCTGGAGGGTGGGCATCCCGCCGCCGGAGCAGCAATGGGAGCTTCCCATCCGGGTACTGTGAGCGGGAGGGGGTGGGTGGGGAGCATCTTGGGAACTCACCATCCCTCCCTGAGCCTCCCTGCCCGCGGGATGGAGGCGCTAGGAGAGCCTCTAAAGCTGCAGAGCGCCCCCTGCAGGCTCTGGGATGCTCCTGGGAAATGTATGGAAGCTGACCCTGACCCTGACCCTTCTGGGGAGCTCAGCAGCTCAGGTTCCCCTCCCCGTCCCATGGCCCGTATTGCACCATCTAAGTCTCCTGGCCTGGCCCCCAAGACCACGGGCACGGAGCCAGCCCCTGCCCTGTGCCATGACCTCCTTCACTGTAGCACACGCCTTGCTTTAAACATGTTGGACCAGTGGTCGGCAACCTCATTTCGTCAACAGAGCCAAATAGCAACAAGTACGACGATGGAAATTTCTTTTTGAGAGCCGCATTTTTTTAAACTTAAACTACCTAGGTAGTAGGTACATTGCTATTCACTCCATTAGGATACGTGGTATTCTGTGGAAGAGCCACACTCAAGGGGCCAAAGAGCGCAGGTGGCTCGCAAGCCGAAGTTTGCCGACCCCTGTGTTAGACCATTTGCACACGTCCCCCCTCTGGGCCTTGGCTCCAGCTATTGCAGCTGCTGGTATATACGTTGCATACCACTGTCTCCACCCTTTACAGGGCTGGGCTCTCCTCCCCCGAGGGGCCGAATGCCACCCCTTTCCAACACACTTCATGCTCCCCTGCTCCGGAAGCCTCCCTCCTGCTCTCCTGTCGGTGCCTTTCAATCGCGCTCAGGTGTCTGGCCCCCACACCCTTCTCCATCGGCCCCAGGACCACGCCTTGCATGGCACTGGCTCTGAGATCGGCCCAGCATGGCGCCGAGGGCCTGGCACAGGGCTCCTGCAGTGGGTGGGTGGGTTGTGAATGGGTGAGAGGGCGTTCATTTAGGGATGTGCAGTAGTTAAGGGCAAAGGTCACTGGCCCTGCCTGGGGTCCTGGGTTTTCCCTCTCTGGTGGGCTGCTCTGAGCCGAGAGGCTGGGAGGGCCTTAGAGATCACCAGCCCAACTTCCGGTTTACAGATGGGGACGCTAAGGCCCAGAGAGCGGAGCCTCAGGGTCACCTTGTCCAGGGTGACCAGGGAAACAGAACTCGGGTTTGGGGCTCTTCCTTCCTACTCTGGTTTTCTCCTGGCGTGTAAGCTGTTGCCAGAGCAGCGACCTCCTCGCCTCCTTCATTCCTCACACAGAGGCCAAGAGCAAGCGTGGGGGCTGAGCTGGGGCTTGGTTGTGGGAGCAGGTAACGAGGTGGTTGCACCAGATTACTCCACATGGGGGCGCCAAGAGCCTGTTTTTCTGATGGAAATTGTTACTGACTATAACATAGAACAATGCCTTCACTTTCACCATGGAGGCAGCTCAAGTCACATGCCGCTGACAGTTCTGTCAGGTTTCTGACAGAAGCATTTTTCCCCCCTTCTAGGCATTTGGGATGCTGGGGCTTTGGTGGGAAAAGCACAGATCGCCCTGTGATGTCTGCCCCATCAGATTATGCTGATGCCTCGATGAGCTGCGCTCCTTCCTGTCCAGACAGCGTGTACGTGTCCAGGGAGCTCACGAGGACTCGCTCTGTTCAGAGTTCTGGGAGGAAGCACTCCTCTGTACTGAATTCTCTCCAGCGTTCTGAAGCTGACAGCCACTTTAAGATCTGTATTCTCAGGCCTACGCCCAGAGACCCGCTCACGGCATTCACAAACGGAAGAAACTTTGAGGGACGGGAGCGGGGAGCCTTCTTTTTCCCTTTTCCAGGTCAAGAGCTGTAGCAGAGAAGCCCACTGAAGCCATCTAGCCCCCCTATCTGCTACGGTTAACGGAACTTTCCTGCTATAGCGCGCCAGGCCTGCGTAGAGCTATTCCCACCCCTGCAATGGTGGCTGATGGCCTCATGGCTGAGGAAGTACCCGGTTATGGGGGGTGAGGAGGAGAGAGGATTCTCACGGGCGGTGAGGCCCCACAAGGAAGCAAAGAGCCAGAGCCGTCACGGGGGCTGTGACACTGCTGGCCCCCGTCGGGATCTTCCCCCATCCCCAGATGCTTCCTGTCTCAGACACATCCAAACCCCACACGTAGAATCTCAGAGAGTGGCAACTTAGAAGCCCCCAGAGGACAGGGCGTGTCCTCTGGGCCAGGCGGATGGATAAGATGCAAATACAGAGGCTGGTGTAGGGAGTGGGGTGGACAGAAGGCAGTGGTGGGCATGCCTAGGAAAAGCTCCCGAGTGACCGCCCAGCCTGGTGATCAACAGCCAGTCTGTCTCCCCATTAACCCTGAGTCCCCAGAGGGAGGACCGTGCAGGACTCGCCTCTGCTCCCTTCCGCAGCCTGGCTCAGGCCTTGCACACAGTAGGAGCCCGGAGCCCATCAAATGGAAACCAGCGAGGCCCAGCCATGCTCCCCACGGGCCCGGGACCTGCCGGCCTGCCCGCTGGGATGGAATAATCCTGTGTTTGAAGCTCAGTGAGGCGGAACTGACCCAGTGCCCACCTCCATCTGTCCCTGCCGAGGCCGCGGGCAATGGCTCCTGTGCCCTGTGACGTGGCGCAGGAATCTGAGGTGTCAGCAACAGTCCCTCACACCTCAGGAATCTGCCCTCTGCCCACCCCGGCCCCGCACACTGCCAGTGCCCCGGCCCAGGCCCCCCGCCGCTGCCATTTCTTGCTGCAGTCCCATCTGTTCTCCCTGTCCTTGCTCGGGGGGCCGGCAGAGACATGGAATTGGATGAGCAAATGTCAGGCATGGTTAAAAAAAACACACACACACACTCGTGGGCTTTGCTGTCCAGACCTGAATTTGAATCTCCGTTCCATCCCTCAGCCTCAAGCACTTTTCCTCACTTGTCTGAGCCTCAGTTTCCTCACCCACAAAATGGGAATGATCGTGACTGCTGTGAGGTGGTCGTGAGGATGAAAGAAAGGAGTGTCTCCAAAGTGCCTGGCCATCCCTCGTGTCCTGGCCACCACCCCTCCTCCCCCCCGACCATGCCCCCGGGGGCTGCTCAGACCCCAGCGACCCCACCCCGACTCACAAGTGGCGCAGCCGGCCTCGTCCGCCCCGCTCTCGCAGTCCTTCTCGCCGTCGCAGCGCCAGGAGGCGGGCACGCACTTGTGGCTGGTGGGTCCACAGCTCAGCTTCTCTGCGGGACACACCTGCTTGGCTGTGGGGACACACACATGTGCCTGGGTTGGCCAAGGAGGACACGGGGCCCTGTGCCAACCAGTCCCGTTGCTTGGCCCCTGCCATCTGGCCCGAGGCCCTGGGAATCCAGCACAGCCTGTCTGCTTCATGTGTCTGGTTTCTTCATCTGAGACACCCCTGTCTGTCCCGAAGGCTTTCTGAATCCCGTATCTGACTCCACCACGGCCCTCCCTAATTCCATTCCGTGCCCCCCCACCCCCCCGCCCCTGGCGCTCCAGCCGCCTGGATCCGGCCAACTCCTGCCTCCTCTGATGGTGGCCCCGCCTCCCCTCTGTCCAAACCTCCCCTTTAAGCTCCAGCAACACGGAGCTGCCATGCCCTGATGTCTCTGCCATTTCCCAGCTGTGTCCTCAGGCAAGACGTGCCCCATGTGGGTCTCAGTTTGCCTTCCAGATCAGTGATTCATTGGTCCAAACCTGTAGGTCTGAAGGGTTCACCAAGGCCTCCACTTCCCGCTCCTGCTCCTATCCCCTCTTACAATTCACCCCTCTGCCTCGCTCTCCCGGCCGCCTGTGGCAGGGCCCGGCGGGACCACACAGCTATAATTACTGCAGCTGCAATCAGTCTGCCTCAGCGAGGGGCCAGAAGCCCCAGGCTTGATTCTCAGTTTGGAAGCAAGAATGAGAACCCTGATCAAGGCCAGGGATGGCGTTCAGCCTGAGCATCTCGGGATGGCCCGTGGGGCAGACCCAGCCAAGGCAGACGCCGCTGAGACCTCGGCGGCTGGATCCTGAACACAATGGTCTCTGGGATGTGCCAGGCATCGCCTTCGTCTTCACAAAACCTCCGCAGGGGGAGGATTATCCTGTGGCACAGACATCAAGGGCATGGGCTCTGGAGCCTGGCTGCCTGGGTTCAAATCCCAGCTCGGTTGCTCACTGGCTAGCTACCTTAAGCCAGTCATCCTTACCTTATGCCATTAACATGGGGATAACACTACTTCTCACCTCATAGGATGGTTGTGAAGGCTAAGCTAATGTCTGGGAAGAATTTAGGACTGGAACGCCCAACCCAGTCAGTAGGCACTAATGAAACTGATCCACAGATAATGGAGGAGGACTGGCTTATTCTCTCAGCCAGCATCTACTGAGCACTGCTCTGCACCAGACGTGGCGGTAACCACACAGCTGGTTGAGCACGGAGCAAGCACTCAGAGTCTGCTGTGTCTGGTGCCTGCAGCCAGACAGTCCACTGCCCTGGAAAGCAGCGGTCACTGTTGCCTGACCTCACTCTTCTCTCTGATCTCAGACTAGTTCGTGCTCTTACTTCCTTCCACAGCTGGGCTGAGAGGCCACAAGGGGTGGAGGAAAGGGCACAGACAAGATGGGGTGTCTGAGTCCTGGCCTCCAAACACTGCTGTGCCATGAGAGGGGAGTTCCTTGGCCCCCCATGTGGGCTCCAAAGTTATCCCTAGGACTGCATTTCATGGAATGCAAGGCAACCCACCGGGAACACAGGATCCATGTTACAGAAATTTCCCTTAACAGTAACTGTCGTGTGGGGCAGCCTTGGGGCTGCAGTGAGGGTGGTGAGGGGCCTGGGAGTTGGCAGAGGGCGCTCTATCGCTAACACACTGTGGGCCCTCAGTAAGCACGTCCCCTTCTGGCCCATCAGAGCACAGGGACTGGGGCAAACAGCACTTCCCAGAGCCCTGACTCAGGGGGGAGGGGTGGCGGCTGTTGGAAATGCCCAGCCCATACTCGACTGAATCCAGACTCCGAGGGCAGAGTCAGGAATCTGTACTTTAGCAAGTCCCCCTCCCCAGTGATTCCCATGCAACTCCCCCCTCCCCCTCCCAGGTTACCATTCTGCAAGTTCAAAAGATACAGGCTATTTCATCTCCTTTAAATTCACTCCCAGAAAAATGACAGCGATGTTTAATTTGTTTGCAAGCCTGAGAGAGCACTGGGATGGAGGAACAAGGCGACCTGAGCCAGGCCTCAGGAAGCCACCTCACAGGGAAGCGGGAAGGAAGTCATAACCTCAGCACGGAGCTCCTGCAGTGTGTCGGCTCCACGCTGAGCATCTGACGTCCCCCATCTCCCTCTTACCCTCTCCTGCCAGAGAAGCAAGCCCTGCAGGCTGTCAGCTAAACTCCAGGGGCACCATCCATAAAGATGGTCATGCCAGCATTGCCCCCGGAGTGGAGAGGGTAGTGGTCCCTCATCCTCTGTGCAGATGAGGAAACGGAGGCTCAGAGAGACCACGTCACGGCAAAAACGCACGGCGGAGAGAAGCAGAGCCCTTCCCACCAAACCCACCGGCCCCTGCGGGCGGAGAGGTGGCTCAGAGCCAGCTCCAGACGCCGCCCCAAGTCCCAGGTGGTGGACAGTCGGTCCCTGGACCACCCGCACCCCCCCTCAGGGGCCTGGTCCTGCAGGCCCCAGCGCGGCAGGCCGCCGCTTGAACTTTCAGTGAATGTTTACCCAGGCGATTGCATAACCTTTCGGCAAGGACAATGATTAAACAAACCATCCGCTTCCTCTCTTTCTAATTAATAAGACATTTGCTGGGTCCCTAAATAGACAGCTCTAATGATAGGCTCTCAAGGTCGTGGCAGCGCCTGACGGCAGCCCTCCTGCCCTCGGAGAGCCGAGGCGCCATGCCGGGATGCAGACCCCAGGGGTCTTGGCCGTCACGGCAGGAGACAGAGGTCCGAGAGGGAAAGGGGCCTGCCGAAGCTACGGGATGCTGGCTGTTCCGATGGCGTCTCTCCCAGACCCTCCCTGTCTCTGCTGGGACGTAGCTCTGGCCCAAAGCCAGGACCTGCACAGCACCCTGCTCTCCGGGCTCCTGGGCCAGGCCGCTCGCTGCAGGCCCCGGGAAGTGCAGTGTCTCCTTGTGAGGGGGTCCCGTCATCGCCTTCATCGCCAAGCCTGGGGAAGGGGAGCGCTTGCTCACAGTCTTGCAGCGAGGGGCAGAGCTGGACCTCCATCCCAGGACTCGCCTCCACACGCACTGCCTGCCTTTTGTGCACTTAAATCGCCACGAGAGAAAAGCAGGCCCCGTGGGTCCCCACCCCTGTCAGTCTCCCCGCACCCTGGGGAGGGAGGGGGTACCGAAGGAAGGAGGCTCGAGGGGCCTCCGCACGGGCGGGGTCTGCAAGATGGCAGGTGGCCGTCCGACGCCCACTTTCGGGAGGACCGGAGCCAGAGGCCTCGGCAGCAGCAGGCAGGCGATAGAGTCTGGGTTTTGGGGTTCCTTCAGCAAATCGCGTACCTCTGCACTCCGGTTCCTCGTGTCTGAAAACGGGGTTACACCGTCTTCCAGGTTTGGTGGGTGGTTTAAACGGGGAGACACGTGGAAATGCCTGCTCTCAGAACCTGCAAGGAACTCTAAGCTCAAAAAAGAATGGCCCTGCCAAAACCGGTTTGGCTCAGTGGATAGAGTGTCGGCCTGCAGACTGAAAGGTCTCAGGTTCGATTCCGGTCAAGGGCATGTACATTGGTTGCGGGCACATCCCTGGTATGGGGTGTGCAGGAGGCAGCTGGTCGATGTCTCTCTCTCTCATCGATGTTGCTAGCTCTCTCTCTCTCTCCTCTCCCTTCTTCACTGTAAAAAATCAATAAAATATATATATTTTTTAAAATGGCCCTTTTTTTAGTTCATAAAAGGCAAATGCAAAGGGCTGGGAGGGCCCTGGCCTCACCCCTGGGCATGCACGTTCTCATGGCCCACCAGGTCAGCCCCCAGCCCCCAGCCCCCAGCCCAGAACACAGGTGTCTGTCTCCGTCTGTCTCTCTCAGACAGGTGCCCGAGGGAAGCCTTCAGCCTGCTGTTCACATATCCCCAGGTTCTGAGCGGCAGGAGCGAGGAACCCGCCGTCTCAGACACCGGGAATCCTGCACAGCTGGCGAGGGCCCAACTGCACGCTGGCGAGGCTGTAGGCATTGACGCATTCCCAGAGACTCTGCCCCAGAAACCCAAACCCATGGGTACCTTCTCTAATTCATAAGCTCACAAATTAATAAAAGGGGAAACGTCTGCTGGATAAAAGAATTGAAGTACTTGGCGGCTGCTCATTGAGCCAGCCCGTCTGCGTGTGGGGTCACGGGTGGCCGACCTCCACGTGGGGACCAGAGCGCAGGCCCCGGGAACTGCCCGCGTCCGGCTGCCGCCTGCGCAGAAGGGGTGGCTGCAGCAGCTCCTTCACACGGGGGCAAAGCGCTAATTAGCGTAGCCAGCGTTTACTATTACAGATGGGAAGGCGCTCTTGGCTAATCGGTGAGGCCTGCTTCTGGGTGGGAAGGGTCTAAGATTCATGCATAAAAACCTCATTTTCAATACGCAGCACCAAGGACTGAAACTCATTCACCTTGAACCAAACTCCCCTCCTCCCACCGCTCCCAGATGCCTGAAGCTGGGTCTGAGCCTTCCCCAATCACGTGAGCTATAATTAGAGCTGAAATGCTCCTTTCATTAGGCAAATGTCCCAGGCTTTCCCACTGTGACTCCTGGCTGTGTGTGACAGACAGAATCCAGAACCAGAGGAAAGAGCTGGGAGAAACCCCGATTGCAGTGGAGCAATGCAGGGATGGGGGGCTGCTCCCAGACCCCTTTCCCTTTCGATGTAACCCCCCTCACTTATACTGTTCTAAGATTTTAAACTGGGGTATGTGAGGGAGAGGGCCCCAAGTAAAAATCCTATATAATAAAACCCTAATATGCAAATTGACCAACGGTGGAATGACTGGTTGCTATGACATGCCCTGGCCACCAGGGGGCAGACACTCAATGCAGGAGCTGCTCCCTGGTGGTCAGTGCGCTCCCTGGTGGTCAGGCTAAGGAGCAGCAAGCCCAGCTTCTGGCTAGTGAGTGCAACATCGATGGTGGGGAGCGGGCCTAAGCTGCAGGCAGACATCCCCGAGGGGTCCCAAACTGTGAGAGGGCGCAGGCCAGGCTGAGGGGACGCCCCCCCCCCCACCCCCCAGTGCACAAATGTCATGCACCGGGCCTCTAGTATAATAATAAAGTTATCACTGCCATTACTGCAACACTGACACTTCGCATGCAGTTTTCCGCTTGATTCTCACATCCCCTGTGAGGCAGATACCATTGCCCCCATTTTAAAGATGAATAAGCTGAGGCCCAGGGAGATTGGGCAGTTTGCCCGAGGCCTCACAGGTTAGAGGACCTGAACCCAAATATATCACACACCATACCCACCACTGCCTACAGTCTTGACTACTGCCTACAGTCTTCCTTTGAGGGCGGGGGAGGGGGCTGAATCCAGGGAGCTGGCACAATCCCCAGAAACCTGGTAGGCTGTGAAGGTTGCTATGACAACACCAATTCAATGGGCAGCGGATTGGCTGTGGGCTTCTTGTTCAGTCAGGAAGCCTGCTACCAAGTCCCCCCATGCTGCCTGACCCTCAAGGTCCCTCCTGGCTCACCTCCTCCAGGCAGTCCTCCCGGCCTGTCCACCTCAGACCATGCGGGGTCCGGGGCTCGTGCCCCCGCTGGGCACAGGCAAGGGAGGAAGAGTAGCTCAGAATCCTGAGTCCAGGAATCTTGGGATCATGGCCTTTGAAATTCTGGGATGTTAGAAACCAGGGCCCACAGAGGACCTCAGAGTAACCACTGGAGGACCCAGAGAGCTGGGCTCCTCCCTCCCTGGGTGCAGCCTTGGCTGCGCTCCCATGGGTGCTCTCTCAAGCCTCAGGGAGCCTGGGGAGCCTGTGGTCACCGGAGGCAGACCAGCCAGGACACCTGAGCGTCGGGAAGCTCTGGGCCCAGTAACAGTGCCTCGGAGCTGGGTGGGAAGCAGGCCCGGGGTGGGAAGTGCTAAATGGGCAAAAGGGACAAAGACAGGGAAACAGCTGGGCAGGCGAGGGAGGGGCGGGCAGTGCGGGGAGGCGGTCCCAGAGAGCAGGCGGGCAGGACCCTGGCGGCAGGAGGGAGATGAAAAGGGACACCACACAGAGGGTCCCCACAATAACGCTGATGCAGCTCCCCACTCCCTTTCTGCCCAGCGTCCAGGCTGGCCTGAGGGCTGGCTGGCCCAGCGGGCATGGCCACAGCCCCCTCCCCAAGCGCACGCCATGCACGGGGCTGCACTGGCTGCTGGCATGCACTGGCTCTGCCCCTTGTTAGCTGGGCAGCCTGTTTGCTTCTCTCTGAACGGGATCCATCCCACCCCCTTTCCCAGGCTGTCCTGAGGATGAGAGTCACAGTGGGTGTGGCTGGGCTTTGTTCCTTTTGAAGCTCAAGACAATGAGCCGGCTGCCCACCCCCAGGCACCCCCAGGGCAGTGCTGGGGATGGGCGGGGCGGGGAGGTCAGCTACCTGCTAGGTGAGGAAAGGACCCCGCTGGGCAATGCAGGGGAGGCAGGGGCAAAGGGGAAGGGAGCTAGGGGGCCCTGTCTGAGGCTGGGTTGCTCTTGCTCTCACTCTCTCTCTCCCTTTCTCTTTCTCTCACTCTGAGACTGGTAGCTCTGTTGCTAGGAGACAAGGAAACCCAGTTATCACTAGCTCAGCCCTCTATGGGACTAGATGGGATGCTGGCCTCCATTGTCCCTGCCTCCGCCTCTGGGACAACTGTGACCCCTAACAGGACATGGGGCTGTGCCTGCAGGTCCCCCCCCTCCCCCAGCCCCACATCCTCCACATGTTTAACACCACCCTCCGCCCCCCACACCCTGTCTTTTGTCTCGGGCTCATTCACTGAAGCTCAGCCTCCAGGACCCCTGGGTCCTTCCCGCCCCCTTCCCGTCTCCCTTTTTAATTTAACAAATGTCACAGGATGACCTGCCTGGTGGACGTTTGCTTTAAGGATTAGAGCCTGGAAAGTAAATCGCGGAGAGACAGCGTGGGGCAGGCCCGGGGCTCAGCCCTGCCTCCCACTCACCCTGCCGCCTGGGCTGCCGCCAGCCTGCCGTGGAGGCCGGGGCTGGGCAGAGCTGCCTGGGGCAGAGGAAAGAACCGAGGCCTCCAAGTCCTGGCTGGGGAGCCTTCGGCAAGCCACTCAACCTCTCTGAGCCTCGGTGTCCTCTGTTGTTGTGTGTGTGTGTGTGTTTTAAATTTTTTAAAAAATATATATTTTATTGATTTTTTAAAGAGAGGAAGAGATAGGGATAGAGAGTTAGAAACACAGATGAGAGAGAATCATCGATCAGCTGCCTCTTGCACACTCCCCACCGGGGATCTGCCTGCAACCAAGGTACATGCCCTTGACCGGAATCGAACCCGGGACCCTTCAGTCCGCAGGCCGACGCTCTAGCCACTGAGCCAAACCGGTTTCGGCCGGTGTCCTCCTTTGTAACATTCAGAAAGTGACAGCCCCTGCCTCGCGAGGCTGCTGTGGGGGGATAAGAAGAATTAATGTCTGCAAAGAGCTCAGCACAGTGCCTGGCACACAGTACGTGCTCCGTAAGCACCAGCTGTCCTTGGTGTCATTAGAATTATGATCAGAGTCCTCCAAGAAGCAGTGGGGGAGGCAGGGGGTAGGTGGGGGCGCCTGGAGGATGTGCTATGGCAACTTCTGGGCAGAAGACTCAAAGGAAAGGTGACCAGACGTCCCTCTTCTGGCGGGACAGTCCCGTCAGAAGCGGGACGTCTGGCCACCTTACTCAAAGGGGCTCTCTTGGCAGTGCCTGGCACCGCAGGAGCAGGGCCCAGTGTGCCAGGGAGCTGTGAAGGCAGCCCCAGAGCAGGATGCTGGACACCAGCTACCAGATCCACTTCTGTCTGCCAGGAGCCCTGCAGGCACAGAGCCAAGTGAGTCTGGGGCTGTGCTGGACTGATCACCTCATGTGAGCCTCCCAACCCCCAGCAAGGAAGCTCTGATGAGGGAACCGAAACCCAAGACCCCCAGCCCCCACCCCCAGCCCGAGGGGCAGGACTCACGGCAGTTGGCTGGGAACTCATCGGAGCCGTCGGAACACTCCTCTTCGCCATCACACTTCCACCGCTCGGGGATGCAGTGGCCGTTGTCACAGGTGAAGTCGGTGTCCATGCACGTCTTCTTGGCTGTGGGGCGAGGAGGAGAGCGTGAGGGGCCTGCTGGGCACAGGGAGCTTTTTTTTTTCTTTTCTTTTTTAAAATATATTTTTATTGATTTTTCACAGAGAGGAAGAGAGAGGGATAGAGAGTTAGAAACGTCTCTATGAGAAACATCGATCAGCTGCCTCTTGCACATCCCTTACTGGGGATGTGCCCGCAACCAATGTACATGCCCTTGACCGGAATCGAACCTGTGACCTTTCAGTCCGCAGGCCGACGCTCTATCCACTGAGCCAAACCGGTTTTGGCAGGAAGCTTTTTTAGGACCAGCGACGGTGGGGTGACCAGAATGCACTGGGCCACATGGCCTCCCACGGCCCCTACGTCACAGGGAGCCCCATGGACGAGGGGGGAGAACACGAGGGAGGGCTTTGACCGAGCACCAGATGGGGACAGGGGACACCTGTCCTGCCCTCCAAACTCAGAGCCACGTCCAACAAGTGAGACAGGGTCCACCCACCGGGGCATGCCCGTTCCCTTATCATGCCTCTCGCTTCCCCCGAAGCCTGGTTCCACTGTCACAGCCTCCAGGAAGTCCTCCCTGACCACCTAGCGCAGAGGCGTCAGCCCCTCCCGCCAGTTCTCAGTCCCTTTACCCGCTCCCCCACCATGCCAAAGGCAAGGCCTCTTCTGTACGCACCAGAAAGCCGGCGATGATAACTCAAGGGTGAATGACTGTCTTATGACAAGGTTAATGAAATATCCTCTGTGCAGAGCGGTGGAAAGAGAATCTACTGGGAAAGACCCAAATCAGCTCAGTCCCCAGGGTGCTTCCAGTCTGGGGGTGGGAGAGGCCTCCACACGGGGGGTTTGAATCCCAGCTCTGCCTCTGATCTGTCTGACATTAGGGTTGTTAACCTCTGAGCCTCTGTTTTTCTTATCTCAGAACTAGTGGCCCGGTGAAAATCATGCACTCAGGGTGTGTGTGTGGGGGTCCCTCAGCCCAGCCTGTGCCCTCTTGCAGTCCAGGAGCCCTCGGGGGATGTCCAACTGCCACAGAGGCAGGAAAGGCTCCCGCCACCGTCGCTATGCTGGGGGCAGGGCATTGAGCATCTTCCCCCTGGTGGTCAGTGTGAGTCATAGCGGCTGGTCATTCTGCCGTTTGGTCAATTTGCATATTAGGCTTTTATTATATAGGATGGGAAGAAGAAAGCAAAGGGCTCTGAAGAAGGAAGCAAGTTGTGATGTATGAGGAACACGCAGCAGAGATCCTGGCACCTGGCAGATGCTCGGTAAGCAGCAGCTATTGCTGTTTTCACTGTCTGAAGTCTTAATTAGAAGCAGAGGAAATGGGGTGTCTGTGGCCTCGTGGGGGATGAGGTAGCAGGCTGAGCTCTCCCGCTGGGAGCAGAACTGGGGCAGGAACACGGGTCCACAGGGTGCCCTCTCCCTGTCCCTTCGCTGGCCTGATGCTCCGTGTGGGTGCTAGGTCACATTCAGCACGGGGCCTGGTGGGGCAGCTCTCAGTGGGGGCTCGAGCCCCTGGGAGCATAGCTGCCCAGCCTCTGCTCACACGTCCTGGGCCGGGCGCCCCCCCCCCCCCCCAGAAGCTCCTTCCCAGTGGCCGACCTTGGATTGTGTCCATCCTCCCTGGCTGCCTCTGGAGCAACATGACGGCGTTTCCTGAGTCCCTGCTATTTCTGCCGCTCTCTTCTTTCTTTTTTAAAAATACACATTTTTATTTATTTCAGGGAGGAAGGGAGAGGGAGAGATAGAAACATCAATGATGAGAGAGAATCATTGACCAGTTGCCTCCTACATGCCCCCTACTGGGGATGGAGCTCACAACCCAGGCATGTGCCCTGACCAGGAATCAAACCGTGACCTCCTGGTTCATAGGTTGATGCTCAACCACTGAGCCATACCGGCTGGGCCTGCCTCTCTTTTCAGTGGAATCCTCGCAGTATATCTGCATCCTAGGATGCTTTCTTCACGCTTTCCACAGAAGAATGCCTTTGTGCAGGGCTAGAAGAAACTGGAGGAATCAGAACCCACCTACAGCTGGGGAGCCTGAGGCTCAGAGAGGGGAGGGTCAGCCCAGGGAAACAGCAAGGCCGGGATCAGAGCCAGCCGTCCTGACTGCAGGCCAGGAGCTGAGCAGCCCTCCTGAGCCCAGCACCTCGGGGCGGGGTAGTCATCAGTACCACCGTTAGGTGAATCAGGTCCATAGTCAGTTTGGCTCAGCCGATAGAGCATCACCTGAGAGTAAGGACAGGAATGAGCCCCAGCACCGGGCAGTTCCCAGCAGGGCCAGCAGGGAGTTTTCTCCACTCGCAGCTCAGCATCCAAAAGAGAAGCACCCCTGTCCTACGTTCCCCGAGTGTGTCCTGCATGCCAGTCTCAGTGCATGGCCCTTTTCCGAGAAAACCCCACAAGGGGCCCATTTGTCCCGAGCGACACATGGGAAAACCCAGGGGTGCTAAGCCACACGCCCAAGGTCACATATGGGCGAAAGCAGGGCCACGATTCGAACTCACCATCCGAGGCCCTGGTAGCTGCTGTCAATCCCATTTTTAAAAATATATATATTTTATTGATTTTTACAGAGAGGAAGAGAGAGGAAGAGAGAGCCAGAAACATCAATGAGAATCATCGATCAGCTGCCTCTTGCACCCCCCCCACTGGGGATGTGCCAGCAACCATGGTACATGCCCTTGCCTGGAATCAAACCTGGGACCCTTCCGTCCGCAGGCCGACGCTCTATCCATTGAGCCAAACCCATTTCGGCTGTCAATCCCATTTTACACAAGAGGAAGCTGAGGCTCAGAGAGGGGAGGGTGGTGGTGGCAGACGTGGGATTCCAGTTCCATGTGGCAGCTGCCAAAGCTCAGGCTCCCTCCTCGAAGGCCCTCCGCCGTCTCGGCATGCCAGGAGGAGAGGGAGGACTCGGAGCGGCAGGTGCAGTGTGCCGGGTTCCAGGAGCCACCGGTCCCGGCACATCAACCCAGCCCGGAGGTGCCTGCATGACGCGTCCTCCTGGGCTGTGCCCAGAAGTGTGAGCAGCATGAACCTGGGCTTAGGTCCACGCGTGCTCTGCTCATGGGCTGTCCTGGGGAAACTGAGGCAGGCAGCATGCCATGTTAGGTCGGGACTAGACTAACCCACCTTGATGGGCCCTGACGTGTAACAACGTGGAGGGATTTGGGGTCAGAGCGGAGACTGAGTCTGGACACGGGCACCTCCTCTCAGGGTGACCCTGGCCAGTTCCTCCCCTCTCTGGGCAGGTGCGTCGGAGGCTTCCCAGGCAGCACGGACACAGAAAAGGCAAAAGGCTCCCCCGGAGGACAGAGCCAGCGCCCGGGGGACTTTAGCCCGAATAGTCAAGAGGCTGCATCGGCACTGCCAGGCCATGAGGGCCGGGCAGCCTTCCGAGGCTGTCGGACAAGCCAGGCCAGCCCCCCTGACAGCCCCTCTTGGCCGAGGCAGCCTTGGCTCCGGCTCCCGGGGTGATTCCCCAGCTGGGAGGGAGGCCGTGGCTCCCGTTTCCAGGGATTCATGTCCCTCCATGCCCGTCGCCCCTTGGACAATGCCCACCTCTGTGAGCCCCTGTGCTCCGCGGCCCAGGAGCCGTATGTAATCATCCAGGGTCTGCGACATCATAATCTGGTGCCATGGCAACAGATGAGCTGCCACAAAGGGCTTGGGATTCCACGGGCCAAGGGGGGGAGGACGGGAAATCCAGGACAAAGGAAGTGGGGAGGGCGATTTATTACAAGAAAACTGGCCAAGGAGAGTGTCAGGCAGTCCACGGCCAGACGAACTCTGCTCTGCCCCCTGTGGGCTGCGTGACCTTTTGCAGGTTATAGAACCTCCCTGAGCCTCTGCTTTCTTTCTTTTTATTTTTTATTTATTTATTTATTTATTTATTTATTTATTTATTTATTTATTATTTTTTTTTTTTTATTGATTTTACACAGAGAGGAATTGAGAGGGACAGAGAGTTAGAAACGTCGATGAGAGAGAAACATCGACCAGCTGCCTCTTGCACACCCCCTACCGGAGATGTGCCCGCAACCAAGGCACATGCCCTTGACCGGAATCGAACCCGGGACCCTTCAGTCCGCAGGCCGACACTCTATCCACTGAGCCAAACCGGTTCCAGCTGCTTTCTTTCTTTTTAAAAATATGTTATTTCATGCCAAAACCGGTTTGGCTCAGTGGAGAGAGCGTCAGCCTGTGGACTGAAAGGTCCCGGGTTCGATTCCGGCCAAGGGCACATACCTTGGTTGCGGGCACACCCCCAGTGGGGAGGTGTGCAAAGAGGCAGCTGGTTGATATATCTCTCTCATCGACGTTTCTAACTCTCTATCCCTCTCAATTCCTCTCTGTGTAAAATCAATAAAATATATTTAAAAAAAAAAACAAAAACAAACAACAACAACAACAAAATTTTTTTAAAAAAATGTTATTTCAGAGAGGAAGGGAGAGGGAGAGAGAGAGATAGAAGCATCAATGATGAGAGAGAATCACTGATCGGCTGCCTCCTTCACGCCCCCTCACTGGGAATTGAACCTAAAAGTCAGGCATGTTCCCTTGACCGGAATTGAACCCAGGACCTTTAGTCTACAGGCTGATGCTGTCCACGGAGGGCTAAGCCTCGCTTTCTTCATCTGCATTCAGGGATAATATCCCTGCTTCCCCACACAGGCTTGCTGGTGAACGGGCTAAGGATGGTGCCAGTGCATAAACGGAAAAGCATGGAGGCGAAGTCTGAGGGGGTGACGCCAGCCGCCGGGTGTGCCATTGGGCCCCTCAGCCACAGGAGGACCTGCCTCCTCCTGTGGGAATGGAGCTGTGGTGCCGACGGCATCTCCGGCCCCTCTCTGTGCCCAGAGTCCATGATCTTGTGAAATGATGGTGGTCACTCAGCACCTGCCAGCGTCCCCGCCCCCAGAGGCATCCCCCCTTCTCCCCGCCAGGACAATACGCGCCATTTCACGCTGTCATTTCCCGCCCACTCTCGTCCC